GAAAAAGTGGTCAACTAATAAAATGCGCACAATGTCTTTTTGAGTAATTCATCAGTTGACCACTTTTCTTTATCTCTTCTGCCAATCAAGATATAGTATGCTAAACAAACGGTGTGGGTCCAAAATCAATCAATATCGAGGAATTATCAAAAAGAGGTCTGAAAAGCGGCTGAGCCCGAATCTGAAAAGAGCACAGGGAAGGCAGAGAGAGAGAGAGACGGAGAGCCGCACAAAAAAGGGCGGTAACGCACGATGCGGGCGGCAAAAGAAGTCGAAAAACAAACACATCCTTTCCGCGCGGAAAGCGCGCGGAACGCACGGGCGCCACTTGCGTTGCGTGACGCGCAGAGTGCGCGCCCGAGGAAACGGGCGGACGGGCGTGTGAGCAAACAGCCGGAGGAAGAAGAGTGTTTGCGGAAAGAGAGAGAGAGAGAGAGAGAGAGAGAGAGAGGGATCGTTTTCCGGATAGTCGTGTTGGATCGATGGGATGATTGGGAGAGGGAGGCGAAGGATCGGAAGATCACGGCTCCCCAACTAACAAGTGCATGGGAAACTTTTTGGAAAAATGCAATTAAAGATCCCCCGCGCGGTTACTGTAGGATTACGGTAGCACAAATGTGTTGAGACATGCAATCAAAGTGTTGAAGACAAAAAAGCAAAAATTTCCGATCGTCCAGCGCCACTGAAATTATTGAAAGCACGGAATTCCCTTGGCGCAATTCACGTGCGCTAAACACTAAACAAGGCGCGTAACGCGTAATTCCGGAGCGTCGTTGTAGAGTTTCTCATTCCAATTTTCCCTTTTTTTGCATTATTCCCATCTTTTCAGAACCAATCAGTGTCGAAACTTATGATAATGATTAGAAATGAATATAAAATGAAATGTTAACTGCTTCGTCATCAATTTCGAAACGTTTTATGTGAAAATTACAGAATTTTTTCCTTTTTGAATCGAAAATTTGCCTCAATTATCTCAATTCTGTATATTTTTCGATGGTTGAGCGCTTAAAAGATGCGCAATAAACTGCTTGTTGGCTGGACGGTTCGAATGTCAGTGTCCGAACTCGATTCGGCGCAAATAATCGTTAAAACTCTGCTTTGTCAGTAGTTTTCGACAAAATCCCTCAATTTGGTCAATTCTGAACGAATCTGCTCCGTTTCGCGCTTAAATCGATGCTTTTAACTCAGACAATCGCCCTACGGTTCGGAAAGAACAAATTTTGAGTGTTTATTAAGAGAAAAACGAAAGATTTCGGGTTTTCAATTGAAAAAAGAAACTGCGAGTCGACGGTGGATGCAAGCGCGCCCCATTGACAACTTGCTTGCGCATTGGAATGCTGGGGTTCCGTGCAAAAGGCGAATGAATTTGTGAAATTTGTTTATCAAACTCTCGGATCTGATTTCCAGACGGTGGATTCAATTTCATTTGGAAACAAACAAATGTGCATACAAAATGAGCCGGACTAATGGGGACCAAAGTGAGCACCCGGTCCCGCGTCAATCATTTGAAACATTTCACTGAAAATGGTGTACGTACAATATCAATATCACGAAAAAGTTGATAATATCAGAGAAATGGATATGGGGGAGAGAGTGTTCGAGAGTGAGAGACGGAGAGAAAGAGACGCGACTTCCGGTCGATTCGCAAAATGATGAATGGACGGATGGGCGGGCAGTGACAGGAATAAGGATCAAAGATGAACGCCTCTGAAAAGAGTCCCACTGAACACTTTGGTACATTTCAGGTCGTAGTGTGTACCATTAGATAGAGCATCAACGACCGTCAACTTCAGAGGCCCATATCTCGAGAACCAATGATTAGTTTGAAAAGTGGTCAACTGGAAAATTGTTGCAAATCTTGTGCTGAACAACTTTGTAATAGATCATTTCATTCGAAAACGCATGATTTTCAAGTTATACGCATTTTTTTGCACACAACTCTGGAATTCTGAAGTTGCAATGCGTCGACGAGCACTCTAATTTCTTGTCTCCGGAAGTATCGACTCGTGTTACGTCTGTGTTTTGGTTTTCGCTGGATTTCACAAAAAGCCAAGCAAACTAACCCTACAGTAACCGAGAGCACCTTCCTTATCATTTTTGAATCGTAAAAAAAAGCTACAACAGGTCTGGAATTTATAGAAGCATTTTATAGAAGCTGTAAGGTTTCCTTTTTTTTCGTTTTTTTTTTTTGGAAAATCGAAAGAGAGGAGGACGATTCAACCCGATAAGGCGTCTGAAAATGAAATGAAATGCGGGTCAGACACGAGAGCAAACACCCCCCTTTTCATTTCATTTCCTTATCATTCACTCGGGGTCCGTCCGTCTGCGTCTCTCGCCCACGCACACTCTCTCGTCGACGGCTATTTCCGATACGTGATAAGACGAAAATGGATTGGGTTTCGACGAAAATAGACAAAAAGAGAGAGAGAAGAAGAAGAAGAAGAAGGCATCTTCTTCTTCTTCTTCTTCTTCTTCTCCTTGCTTCTGTGATAAATGACTGGAAGGGAATACAAAATGGCATGTGACTTCGAAAGATCATCAAGACGAAAGGGAGACGGAGGATACACAGATGACGTGTTTGGTTATCATCTGGTATCGTGTCGGATGATCGAATGTTTGGGGTTTGTACCTAACAAGGACTGGCCAAAGTGTTGGCCCACTTGTAATAATCCGATCGGGCCCTTACACTTGGATTGGGAGTATTTTGGGTCCAAGTTTCAGACCCAATGGATCATCCGGTCCCGAGATATGCTGGTTTGATGATAATCCGATGGGATCATTGGACCATCTTGTCTCTAAACTTTTGAAATTTTAAGTGGAAACTATGTAGAGTTGAGCGGAACAACTCACGGAAGAATTTTTATCTTTTTTAGAAAATTTTTTCATGGAATGTGATCAACTGACGAAATGTGCAGCAAAATGAATTCTGCTCATAGAAAAATAATTGTAAATTTAGCTTTTCATACAAAAAAGTTATTCGAGTTGTTCCGTGAAAATGCCCTTCCGTCTTCCGTTTTTTCACGGAACAACTCGCATAACTTTTTTGTATGAAAAGCTAAATTTACAATTATTTTTCTATGAGCAGAGTTCACTTTGCTATACATTTCGTCAGTTGATCACATTTCATGAAAAAATATTCTAAAAAAGATAAAAATTCTTCCGTGAGTTGTTCCGCTTAGCTCTGGTGTATATCAGAGTTGAGCGGAAATGGAATTTCGAAATTCGGAAGACGTAAGAAAATTTTTTTACGGAACACGGAAAATGAAAGACCGAAGAAAATTTTTTTCCCGGAAGACGGAAGACGGAAGACGAAAGACGGAAGACGGAAAACGGAAGACGGAAGACGGAAGACGGAAGACGGAAGACGGAAGACGGAAACGGAAGACGGAAGACGGAAGACGGAAGACGGAAGACGGAAGACGGAAGACGAAAGACGGAAGACGGAAAACGGAAGACGGAAGACGGAAGACGGAAGACGGAATTCCGCTCAACACTGGTGTGCATGTTTTGAGTAAAAGTACTTATAGACCGTAAGATAAGGTTCGCCGGCTCAAATGTCAAAGTTCTAATAGTGCGCCGGTCTGGGGTAAACAGGTTTTCGGTCTGAAATGGTAATTTTTGAGCGTTTGAGCGTTTGAGCACATGGAAACGATTTCAAAATACTTCTAAATTCATTTGGGCAAAAAAGTTTAAAGAAGAGGTGACACAAGTGACGTGGCACGCACTTTTCTGTGATGTGCTGACAAGAAGAGCGGGCATGAGGAAGGGGAAAATAGAAGGAAAAGCGGCTAAGAATAGAAGAGAAGCGGCTCTGTGACATCATTGGCGCGCGCGCAAATAGACACCACTTCTCTTTCTCTCGAAAAAGAGCGCTCATCCGACGGCATCTCATTTGCCACGTCATGAAAAACAATACTGTTTATTCAAACCAATATATCTCGGCTGCCAGTTGAGATATCAAAAAGATGTCAACTAATGGAATGTGCTTTAAGATATTTTCTACATTTTTTCAGTTGACCACTTTTTGATTCCTCTAATGGCGGCTGAGATACATCACTTTGAACAAACGGTATCTGAAGGTGATGTTCTATGAGGTATTGGTACAAAACATGACATCAATGCACTTAATTCCGAGGAAAAATGATCTATCTCGGCGAGAAAACGATGCGAAAGTGTTCTTAGGCCGACTCCTTGACGATATGAAGCTTCCGTTCTCGTCGAGAACATCCGTACCGCCCATGATTTTGACTTCGTCGCCGTCGTGTCTGAAAACATCAAAAGTAGAGGTTTTCGTCCTTTCCTGAGCCCAAAATGAGTCTCCCAAAATGAGCATACTCACCCATTAAAAGTCCGTTCCCTCTCCACAATCCGCATCCATTTGGTGACGAACTCTACGACTGCGGGTGTTCTGAGTCGTCGATGACACCGATCTCTCTCATTTCCACGTTGTCGTCCGGCAGTTCGGTCTCCAGCAGAGTTATGGGTGTGGAAAACAATCGAGGAACACGAAATGGCATGATTTTTAGATTGTTCACGGATAAAGTCGGTCGCTTTGCAGACACCAGGGACAGTAGCTTGTCGTTTGTTGGCCGATCGGACACGTGCAAACCAGAGTTGAGCGGAAATGGAATTTTGAAATCCGGAAGACGGCAGATGGAAGACGGAAGACGGAGCAAAAAATCCACGGAAGACGGAAGACGGAAGACGGCAGACGGAATTCCACTCAACTCTGGTGCAAACGTCTCATAGTTTATCGATTTTTGGCGGTTATCCAGCAGAGCTGAGGGGAAATGAAATTTTGAAATCCGGAAGACGGAAGACGGAAGAAAATGTTTTTTTACGGAAAACGGAAGACGGAAGAAAAATTTTTCTCCCGGAAGACGGAAGACGGAATTCTGCTCAACTCTGTTGTCCAGCCAACCAATCACTTGTTTGCACCGATCATCCGATCCAGAAATCGCTTGCTGTCACGTCGTCCGGCCAGTACATTCCCGTCATGTTCATCTGTCGATCCGGTGGTAGACAACACTTGGACTCCGCCCACACTCAGCATCATTGCTCCATCTTGCGGAGGTGCATTCAGAGCTTTTCGGCAAGGTTCGGTTCGTCAACGCGGGCCTTCGTTGGTTCATCGATTTGGCCAGAGTGTAGCTCGTTTTCGAGGTGAACGACGACATCTTGACACTGCAGAAATGGGAAAATTGCGAAAAGAGAGCATTGGATGGGATGGATCTTACATTGAGAACGGTGAAAGTTGGTTGATGACGTGGAAGAAGAGGAAGACACAGAGGACACAAGAGGGAACGGGGTCACGGTGTTTGCGGACCGCACACTTTGCAACCAACATTTTTACATGTTTTTTGATCTACTGCTCGTCACTGCGCACTGTCTCCCCAACGGCTAATGCTAAATTGAGCGCCGCGTTAAAACGGAGTGTCGTTGAAAACAAAAGCAGGTCTCTGAAATTTCTGAATTTTTTGCGAAAACCCGAAATTTTGTCCCAAAATGAGGAAAATGAAGTAAAACAGAGAATTTCCGAATTGTTAATGACTGTGACCTTAAATTAGCGTTTTGCCCACAAGAAAGCGCGCATTTTTTCATTTTTCTGTGAATTTCAGTCCGGATCCTCAAAAACTGAATATTCTCAGTCATTTTTGCATTTTATGGGCCGTCTCTGTGCTCAAAATTACCGCCTTTGTCTGCTGAACAATCGTGAGGCAACTGTTTTTTGATTCTGTCAACTGTTTTCTCTAAACTTCCGAATGTTCGTGTTTTTTCAAGCCAAATTTAAAAAACCAAATTACTCTTCGAATTTTCACTTTTACACGAGCACTCTGTGATCATTCGGTCATATGAACAAACGTGACTCAAAAGTTTGGAAGGAAAAGTGTGCATAATCCCAAAAACTCGGGAAAACATCGTTTTCAGTTGAAAAACCGTCTCCCGTAAATCGACACTGAGAGCAGCACGCAAACAATTTTGCACTGTCCGTTTCAAAATGTCCGGTTTCGAGACGTCGAGGAGTCCTAATTGTTTTAATTGTTGAAACAAGTTCTACTTTAGTCGATGCTCACGAATTGTGCAGAACCTGTCTAAAAATCAAACATACGTTTCGCCCTCAAATCTATATTATCCAGACTTGCAACGGGCCGGGCCGGGCCGGGCCGGGCCGGGCCAAAACTGGAAATTTTCCGGCCCGGCCCGGTCGGCCCGGGAGGATGCACCTAAAAATTCAAAGCGAACTAGAACTTCGAAACGAACATAATTTTATAGACTTAAAATTTTATAGACTTAAAAAGGCAATGTTATAGCATAAAAACCTGTTAAAAAATAGAAATTGCTGTTTAAAGTCGCAAAATTTTCACAAAAATTACGAAAATTTTCTCAAAAGTGGGCGGAGCCGGGCCGACCGGGCCCGGCCCGGGATTTGGCAAGTCTGATATTATCTGTAATTGTTCCTCTTTGTGCTTGTCATTGTGCGGAAATTCATCGTTAAGCTGATTTCACTTTTCTTCGATAAAACCCACTTTTATTTCAGTTCTCAAGCAACAAAAAAAAACACAATTCCAGCACATCTTCATCATCTTCATTTTGCAGTTCCAATTCCAATTCCTGACTCCAAGTGAGCGGGAATGAGAGAGAGAGAGAATTGCAAAAATGAGAAAAAGAGCGGCGGCGGCGGTGGCGGCGGCTGCTCCGGGAGTCCTCCAGAACCAAAGAGAGAAAGAAAGAGAGAGAGAGAGGGAGTATACTCTTTCTCTCTCTCTCTCTCTCTCTTTCTTTCTCCGAGAAGAGAGACACAAGAGAAGGGAGAGTGCGATGCGGCGCGCACGCGAAGCGGTTCCCCCCCCCTTGGCTGCCCGTCCCGCCGCTCCTTCCCGTCCTTTTACTGATAGGTCAGATGCATTTCGCCGAGCCACGTGTTCCAATTTTTGCAATTTTCGATGTGGTCCCTTTGAGTGCCATTAAGAGCGTTTAATTACTTTTTTTTGGGGTTTGTCTTAAACGCTGCAAGATTTGTATGAATGTAAGATTTCATGTTGAGGGAATTACGGCTGAAGTCTCTACAATTGTTTCACTTTTTCCTCTGCCAACTGCTTGAAACTCTAAAGTTCCAGATTTTTACACATTTTTTCGAATTTTTGCAAAGAGCGCTTTGCTAAGAAATGCGAAGAACAAATTTTCAGCTAGAAATTTGCAGAAAGCTGCCAAAAATCTTTATCAAAACAAATAATATTTCCTTGATTATTCTTCCCAGATCTTTTCGATTCGTTCGTCCAAAACCCCAGCCCGCCGCAATTTCGTCTGTTTCGTCGTCTGCGTCTCCACTCGGGCTCCCTCTCTCTCTCATTCACTCTCACGGGCGCGCACACACACACACACACACACACACATTTATCGATTTTTGTCCGTATTTTGTGCGTGCTCTCCCCCGCGCGGCTTCTTCTTCTTCTTCTTCTTCTTCTTCTTCTTCTCTCTTGTTGAGAGAGAGAGTGAGAGTGTGCATCCAACGAAAAGAGAGAAGAAGAAGAAGAAGAGGAAGAGAGAGAGAGAGAGAAGGGCGCCTCAATCGATCATCTTTGCTTCTTCTTCTTCTTTTTCTTCTTTTTCTTCTTCTTCTTTAGCAGCGAGAGGTAGAAAAAAAGAGCTGAAACTGTGATTAAAGAAGAAAAATGAGAGAAAAAGCGTGGGAGTTTTGAGTGCTTCCCCCATAAACTTCTCCTCCAAAACCACAATTCACCTGTTCCGGGGGAAAACAGGTGAAATCACTGATTATGGATTTGTGTTGAGAAGGTGACAAACCTTACGAATTCCAGTAGAATTTCTCAAATTCTATATCATTATCTCCATCGGAAGCCTCTAATTTCGAAGAAAATTGCAAAGAAATGCCGGTTAGTAGTCGGTTTTCTGAACAAATTTGCGCTTTTCTCGCTTGCTGATGAAAATTTCGTAAAAACAACTATTGAACGTGTGTTTCTTTGCAATTTTAGGCCTTGTCGTAGAGATTTTTCCGCATTTTTTTGCTTCTCGACACGTTTTTTGCTTGATTTCGTCAAAAATCACATGTTTTTGGATTGAGCCCGTCAAAGTTTTGAAGATTTTCCTCACACACTTGCATACTCTCTGTCACTTCTTTCTTTTTCTCTCTCTCCCTCTCCCACTTTCTACTCATTTCCCCAAAAAATTGTAACCTTCATTCACTTTTTTGCTTGCTCTTTTTGCCTGTCGAACCTCTCAATTTTTTTTTAAATTGCAGACCGTGGTACGTGCTCTTCCATCTTCCTTCCACCACCTCCTCCTCCTCCTCCTCGGCCACAGCTCCTTCGTCCTCGTCCGCATCGTGCGTCGTTGAGACGTCGTTGCCCGGAGCAGCAGGTGCTGTTTCGAGGCCCGCAGGAGGTGGCCGGAGGACCGTTTCTCGCTTCTTCTCTCGCTCTTTTCTCTCTCTCTCTCTCGCTCTCTCTCGCACTCTTCCGTTTTCACCCACTTCACCGCGGTTAGGCTTCTGTGAAACGGTGGCGCTAACCGCGGAATGCGACAGCATTCCATGGCAAACTCAAAGAAAATACAGGAGGTACGTTGGTGGTTATTATTATTATTATGACAATAATCTGCGACGTCGGTCTCGTCGGTTTCCGCCCGTTTTTTCTCTCGGCAATGAGACGATTGTTTGGCTAGATACTTGAGAGGCGAAATGCACAAAAAAGTTCGGATCAGAGCCGCCGCCCACGCTCTCCACTTGGATGGATCGAAAAAGAAATCAAACAGAAAGAGCCGGAGGGCGGGTGTGCGTGACTTCTTGGGAATGGGCGGCGCCCCCCGGCGAGATCATCCACGTGGCAGGCGAGCTCACGAGAATGAGTGTTTGTGTATTGCAGCTGGTGCACGAGTGCAACGTGCAATTGGCACTCTTCCGCGGAGCCACGCAAGGCATCGGAACCGCCCAGGACGGAGCCTCGTTAAGGAGGTGAGCGCTTTTGAGGGAAATCTTTCAAAAAGCTGTTGCTTTTTTTGCTGAGAATTGTCGAACGTCTCACAACGCACTAAATGTTTCGCATTTTCCACACAGAAAGCTTTTCAGCAGTGAGAATCCTTCAACTCAGGCAAATAGTTTGTAATCTAGCTAGGAGATTTCGTAATCTAAACCGAGTCGAGAGTATTTCTAACCGGACCTAATTAGATTGCACTATCACCTAATTAGATTTGCAAATCGGCTAATTAGATTAACAAGTTTCCTAACTAGATTCGGATATCTCCTAATTAGATTTGGCCATATTTTCAAAATTCTCGATAAAAATCGACAAATTTATTGGGAAAACAACAACAAATAAGAGTTCAACAGAATAAAAAGTAAAAAAATTAACAAATTAGAAGAAAATGTCGACTTCGGCGGTTTAAATGTGCTCGCGTCAGCCTACACTCCTTTCGCTCTCTTCAATTCTTTCTTGCTCGTCGAACGACTGTGGTTGCTGAAAGCAGAAGTCCGTGTTATACGTGCTCCGGGAAACATACAAAATGTTTGCCAGATGCAGTTTTAAAAGAATCGCAACAGGCAAAAGGCACGAGATCCTTTGGACGAGTGACCTTTGAGGCCAAAAACTTTTCGTCGAGCCTGCAAATTCGTTAATATGAGGAGGAAATCCGGGTTTTCAAACTGACTGGGTCGTCGAACACGCCTGTCACAATATTCCCTCTGACTATGAACCCGTTCAACACAGTGCACAGTTCTAATTCATTGTGCAGCATCGACTCGCGTCAGTCTAGTGTTTTCGAACAACAGTTTCTTCATGTTCATCTTATTAGCTACTTCTGTACAGTCGAAATATGTCGAAATCGCTGAAAAAAATAGTCCGGTCATTCCGAAATCGAAGTAAAAACCTCTTCTTGATTGGGTAGTCGACAGTTGTTATTTTCACACGTGGCATGATTGCCGTCTGAAATAGACACATTTTTGCACAAAAATGTAAAAATAATAGTATAACAGCAAAAAAAAAACGTTCGAAATCGATCGAAAACGGCGTGTCTTCCTTCTGTTCAAATTTCTGTTCAAATTCCCGTCAATCTAATTAGGTTGACTTTAGATTCGGATTTTTTCTAATTAGATTAGCAATTATGTCTGCTGGCGCGATTCGAGATCGCGCCTTCGTTTTTACAGTCAAATCTAGCTAGGTTTAGTTTAGATTCCGTTTTCACCTAGCTAGATTCGGAACTCGGTTTAGATTACGAAATCTCCTAGCTAGATTACAAACGATTTGCCTGAGAATTTTATTTTTCGAAAAGCAAAATTTTGGAGCGAATCGATTTCGCCGACAATTTGCAGTCGCTCGTCTATTTTTTTTAGAGAATTCTAGGCCAGAGAACTCGAATTTCTTCGGAAAGCTGTTCGATTTTTGTGCTGGCCACCAGCGAAATGTGAATTTTGTCCTTTTTCTCTCAAATTGTTGGCAAAAATCGATATTCTACGTGTTGGTGACGTGTTTTACACTAGTATTCGATACGAGAATCTGGCGATTTAGTGCAATTGCACTGAACAATCAATAACAGCCGTGTTTCCAAATAAAAGTGTTCACTATTCGATGATTGCAGAGAAGTGGAAACAGCGGGTCGAGCATGTCAGAAAGCGGTCGAAGCGGCCAACAACGTCGTCCTTCCGCAGCTGAGGGCTGATGGTCTGTTTCTGAATTATTCCTTTGAAAATTCAAAAAATTCTGCATTCAGAAGCGGAAATCGCCCGTCACGGAAGTCTGTTCATCGGATGCGTCGGCGCGTATTTGATCGAAATGAAGAGATGCGTCAAGTTGGAGAAGACGTTTCCGGCGCCGACGGAGCCGTCGGTGACGAGGCAGCAGGTGGAGCGGGTGGAGAGCATTCTCGACACCCTCGAGAACCTCATCACCGTCCATTACTCCACCAACGAGCAGCCCGCCCTCGATAAGGTGAGCAAGTTTTAAAAATTGGAAAAAAAACGAGAGAGTTGAAAAGCCTCAATAACTAGAAATAACCGTTTGATTTTGAGAGGTGTCACAAAATGGACGCAGCCGCTTGAAAGAACATCTTGCGTTGAAAAAACCGCTTTACCAATTTCTCTATTTTTATAATGGGGTTATTCAGGCTGTGAAAAAAATGATTGTTTTCCGTTTTTTTCGTTTTTTTACGTCAAAAAATCCAATTCAGCGATGTAAAAAAACGAAAAAAACATAAAACAAACATACGCTGAATAGCCCCATAAGGCTCACGTGAGAAAAGTTGCGTCCATTTAAGAAACACCGTCTCCGGCAGTGCCTGGCAGCACGCTCCGTCAAAATAAAGCAGCCAGTTTTTCAAAAGTTCTTGATAAACATTTCATTAATTCATTAATTGCAGTTGCAAGTGACGCCACGAAGGAGGCGAGCCACGTCGTGCCGGCCGCAGTGTGTGTGCTCGAAACTGAAAACGAGTTATGCGTGACCCGAATTGGTCCTTCGTCCTCTTCCTCGACTTCTCAATTCGTCTCTTCTCCAATTCCGATTCGATTCTCTCGTTTTCAGAAAATTTCCTTCTCTACGCCAATTCTTCTTTCTTCTAGGTGAGTGTTTTTTGCGAGCCTTACAAACAAACGATGCTTTTTGGCGGAAAAAGTACAGAAAATCAGAAAAAAAAAACGATTTTCAGGTGCAGGCTGTTCCCTCTCCTCCTCCTCCTCCTTCATCTCATCGCGGTGTCTTCCTGATAAATCATCAAAACAAACGCTTGACAGCATCAATCAAATTGTACGCTCTCCCAGTAGCCCCTCACCCAACCACGCATCCCAGTTATAGTCTTCGTCCCCAATCCGCCCATTTTTCTGTAAAAACAACAATTATCTCATTGCCCAAATCTAGAAATTACCTCGAAAAAACCTTAGGTTCTCTTGTAAAAATCGACCAAAATTGGCGTTCTTCTAATCGATCGAAACGCAACAATTTGAATCTTTTCGTCTCATTTTCACATCATCACAGCTCAAAAATCCCAAGTTATTCATTTCATTTTACGGAACAACTTTCGAAAAATTCTTCCCCAAACTATTAACAAGGCAAACAATTTAGGCATAATTTCCTCCGTCCAACCCACACTTTCTCCTCCGCCCTTCTTCATTCGTTTTCCATTTCTTTTTTCAAACATTGTTTTGAAAATTTGTACATCGTATCAATGTCCGTCTCCCACCGTCCATATACGTCCTGATCAAAAAGTGTTTCTTCTTTGCGATTTCTTTTAAAAAAATATACTTTATTTTACATGAGATCAGGCAGTAAAAATCGGAAAAATCGGTGCCGTCTAATCGTCGTTTTCGTCTTCCGAAGGCACGTAATCCTCGTCCACCTCTTCCACTTTTTCCTCGTTTTTCTTCACTTCAACCTGACCGAATTTTCAGATTATTTTCAAAATTTTTAGCGAAGAAAAGCGTACTTGATGGGATTTCTGATGGAAAACGAACGAAATTGAGCCGCATTCGAAGACGGCACGCAGCACGTTGTCGGCTACCTGAAAGTGTCGGGATTCACGGAACAGATCGCTACTGGAAAACGGTCAGAAACCCGAGTTTCTATAATTTTCCAATGGAAACGCATTCTCCGTTTTTATACCTTTCTGGCAGTCTTCTGCGAGTGGAACCAGTTGGCGAGATCGCTGGCGCAGTCGGCGTCTGCGGGCGGGTCCACACTCTCCACTTCCTGGATGCATCGCTTGCATTTCAGTCTGCAAAACAGGCCATTCTCCAGCTGAAACCACCCCCCTTATTTCCCTACTTTTCATGGGTGTCCGATGCGACGTGCGACTCCAGTTTGAACAGTTCTCGGAGTTGTTCCGAACTGAAGTGCCGTGCCACGTCTTCTCCCGCGTCCACCTGAACAATTTCATCGGAAAATCAATGAAATAAGCGAGAAAAGAGACGTACGACACACGAGGAAAGCGCTTTTTTGTGCGTCTGGCGCTGGAACATCTTCTCTTCGATCGATCCGGTCTGAAAATTGCCAATTTCTTTTCAATTCTGTTCGTGGAGATCGGAAAAGGGGCGTGGTCTTTTTGTGTTTGAAATTTAGACATTTTCAGCATTCGAGCTGTCTGAAATTGAAATTTTCAGTGATAATTCTGGAATAGCCGCGTTTTTTTCTTAAAAATTGCCTCTTGGTCTATCAATACCCACATTGTAGTTTAAAAAGTACTCAATAATCACTAATATACGTTCATTTCCAGTCCATCACTTTCAACCTCTGCAACTGTACTTGTTTTGATTTAAAAAAATCTACAAAAAAGCAGGCCACGCCCCTTTTCCCATTTCAGGATACAATGCGAACCGCTAAAAGTCGGTAGATGAAGCACGGTTTCTTCTGTCCGTCCCTCCAAACTCTCGCCATCGCCTGATCGTCGTTCGCCGGGTTCCAGTCCGGATCGAACATGACCAACCGGTTGGCGCCGATCAGATTGAGTCCGCATCCGCCGGCTTTCGAGGAGAGCAAGAAGCAGAAGATGGTGCTCTGCGGATCGTTGAACTGGTCGACAATCTTCGATCGCTGCTTAATCGACATGGATCCGTCGAGGCGGACGAAGTCGTATCCGCGAAGACGGCACAGCTCCATGAATTGGTCGATGGTCTGCGTGTAGTTGGAAACGAGCACGAACTTGTCGTCGGTCGTCTTCCGGGTCACCGCGAGAATATAATCGAGCACCTTCATTTTGCCAGAGAACGACGGATCGAACGCCTTCGGATTGAACGTCTCCGGGAACACCGAGAGGCATTTCGCGCTGAACCGATTCTCGGGCTTCTGCAGTTCCTCGTACACGAGGTACGGATGGTTGCACAGCTTCTTGAGATGCGTGATGAACGAGAGCGCCGACGCCGTCGCGCCCTTGTCCTTCTCGGCGATCCGATTCTGTTTCTCGCACTCGATCAGTTTGTTGTACAGCGTCTCCTGAAGGGTCGAGTTCTTGCAGCAGATGATGTGCTCGTACTTGACCGGCAAGTATTTGGTCAGCAGCGCCGACGTCCTCCGGATGATGCACTTCTCGACGAGGGCCACCATCTCCTTCGTCTTCTCCTCGCCCTTCTTCTGGTTCTCCGCACTCGCGTCCGCGTCCCGTCCCTTCAGAATCGAATTCTCAAACTTTTTGCGAAACTCTTGCGCGGTGCCGAGCAGTCCCGGATTGACAAAATTGACGAGGCTAAAGTATTCGAGGAGGTCGTTCTGGATGGGCGTTCCCGAAATCAAGACCCGCCGCGCGCATTTCAACCCGCTCAACGCCTGATAAGTGAGGTTTTCGCTGTTTTTCAGGCGATGACCCTCGTCGCAAATGACGATTCCGACGTCTCCAGAGTGCAGAATGTTCGCGTAGAGACGAAAAGTTTCGTAGGAGATGATGAGGACGGGAATGGCGCAGCGCATCTTCGAGTCGGCCATGAACGAGTTGAGCGACGCGATGATCAGATCCTTCTTGCCGCTGTCGACGGGCATCGCATTCACCCGAGTGCCCAGCCACTTCTTGATCTCCTTGTCCCAATTTTTGACCAAACTACTCGGACACACAATAATACTCTTCGATACGGTGGGACACGCGTCCGGGGACTGTCTGAGGAGGGTCCACAGCAGGGAGATGCACTGCAACGTCTTGCCGAGACCCATCTCGTCGGCCATAATGCAGCCGTGGTAGTCTGGAATGTTGGCGCCCGTCACACAGTCGTACATGAACTTGACGCCGTCCCGCTGGTGCGGTCGCAGGATCTTTCCGACCACCGGATCCACGACCACGTGCACTTTCCGATCCTTGTCCTCCTTCAGCTGCGCGTGTTCGCTCAACTGAACGGGCGTGAAGAGGACGAGTGCGCCTTCGTGGTACGGGTCGAAAAGAGCGCACTTGCGACGGCTGCCGCCCAGTCCGAGACTGCGGCCCGAGAGCATGTAGCCCTCCATCGGAATCGAGAACTTGCGCGACAGCAGTGTGGCGATCATCGCGTCGTGGTCCGATGCTTCGGAGGCCATTCTCCGATTGAAGACGTCGACGTTCACGAAGCGCAGCGGACTCGCCTCTTCCACCGAAACGGGCGGTTCGATCGCGGGCGGAGCCTTCTTTTTGCGACGCAAATTCTGTTTCGACGGCGACAACGGCGTTGTGGAGAACGGCGAGACGAACGATTTGTGTATCTGCAAAGAAAACATTCAAAAAAAGTAATCTTCTTTGAAAAAATCACATTTTTCGGATCGCCCATTTTTCCAGAATATCCCAAACTTCGTCTTTTTTGATTTGGAGCAGAACTTGTCGATGTTGATAGCCTAAATTAGAACATCTTTCCAATGATATAATATTTTTCCAGAAAATCACAAATGCTCGGGGCTCTTCTCCCTCTTCCTCTTCGGCGTCTCCGTTTCGTTCTCTTCTGCCGTTTTTTCCGGAACTTTCTCGATTTTCTCCTCCAATTTCACGTGATTTTCATTGTAAACTTCGACAATCTCCAGATCGTCATCCACAATTCTCGCCGTTTCCACTTTTTCCGGAGATTTCGGCGTGTCCGGTGATTTTTCGTCAAAACCGTTATTAGAAGTTTCAGAATGTTTTTCTGCGATTTTTGGGTTTGTTACAGATTTTTCCGGCGATTTTGGAGCGAGTTCTTTGGGTGTCTTCGGAATTTGTGCAGGTTTTTCCGTGCTCTGCTCGATTTTATGAAAATCCCCTTTCAGAATCTTCTCCATTTCTTCGACCGCTTCGTTGAAACCCTGCAAATGGAAGCATGTTCAAAAATTCGATTAAAACTGGAAAAATGCTACACAGATTACGGACTCCCAGAATTTTCTCTAACCCACCTTGACCCGTTTAGACTTTGAATATCGTTCTCTTTTTTCGAAATAGTCCTCAACTTCGTCGGATTTCAGATTTCCGACCTCTTTACTGCCCAGATATTCGACTGTGTAATGCGATTTTCCCCATTTTTGTTCGCGTTGTAAAACCTGAAAAAGGAATTTAGATAGATTTACTCGAAATTGCAGACTTTTGCCGGCCATGGGGGAAATCCGGCGAATCTGGCCCAGACGAAGTCGCCCGGGTTGAAGGTACGTGCTGAATTTGATTCCATACTGCAAACATTCGATTCTTACATCGGAAAATCTAAGAAAAGCGGGGGTTTAACAAGGAAAAGCTGAAAATTCTGAAAATTCCAGGTTGGTTTGAACTTCGCGGCCATTAAAGTTTTCTAGGCCAGCAAAGAGGATTTGAGGATGCCGATGAAATTTTCTCGAGTTTTGCAGTAAATTAAATTAAATTAATTTTTTTTACAATCTCCTCTTTAATTTGTGTAACAGTTTTAACAAGTAGTTATAACATTTGGACATCAAAACATAGCTTGTTAGTTAGAAATTTAATGGCCGAACTTTTGCAGCTGAGCAAACTTTTCATTTCCCCGATGTTATAGTTATAGAAGCTTGTTTTCTAGGTTGTTTTTGTTCAATAATTTAGAACAATGAACTTTTATAAATTTTCTGCAATAATTTGCGTGCTTTCCACCCTGTTTCCAGAAAAACTCCCCTCTCTAATTCTCAAATTTTGAATTTTAAGTCTACGGTTGATTTTTCAGTGCACTGTTCGCGTGACGGTGTCTACGTACTTCCGCCACTTTTTCCCGTTTCCTTGCCGGTTTTCGGCTTGTTTATCTCCCGCGCGATGACTCATTCGCGTCGTCATTTTCGCCGATTTTTCTGTGATTTCCGATTAGAAATATCGATTTTTAGACGGCAACCTTCATAAAAACTGATTTTTCTCCAAAGAACACCTCATTTTAAAAGAATTTCAACATTCCACAAGTCTCGCACATAAATTTGCATTTCTCTCATGTTTATAGCGAAAATCGTGTGAAAACTGATACTTGCTCATAGTTTCCACCCAAAATAAACATTTCCGACGTTGGTTCCGCATTGTTTCCGTTCCTTCTCCCAAATTTTGCCGATTTTCAGTCAAAATGGCTTCTGCTGCTGCTTCGGCGACGCAAAGAATTCCATCGAAGCGGCAGACGTTGGACGAAGCCTACGCACCGCCAGCGAACTTTCTTGAAATTGAGGTTTTACTCGAAAATCCGAAAATGCTTGATAAATTAAATTCATGCTGGTCTTTCAGGTCATCAATCCGATTACGCACGGTGTCGGCAAAATGCGCTACACTGATTACGAAATTCGAATGAGAGTAAGGAATTTGAACGAAAATTGGGGAAAATTGCGTTTTTCAGTCGAATCTGCCGGTTTTCAAGCAAAAAGAATCGAGCGTCCGCCGTCGGTACAGTGATTTCGAGTGGGTTCGCGCCGAGTTGGAAAGAGACAGCAAGGTTCGTCTTTTTTTACGTTTTAAGTCCCAAAGACTGAAAATACGGTTTCAGATTGTGGTGCCGACGCTTCCGGGCAAATCGTACAAGCGGCAGCTGCCATTCCGATCCGACGACGGCATTTTCGAGGAGGAATTCATTGAAAACCGCCGCAAGGCGCTCGAACTTTTCATTAACAAGTTCGTACTGCTCTTAACATTTTTAAAAAATAGATCCGAATTTTTGCAGAGTTGCGGGACACCCACTGGCCCAAAACGAGCGTTCTCTGCACATTTTCCTCCAAGAAACGACGATCGACAAGAACTACGTGCCGGGCAAGATCCGCACCGCCTGAATCATTGCCAATTACATATATTTCTGAAAATGTCCTCAATTTCCTCCTTTTCCATAGAAATGCGGTATTTCTGGTACTTGATTGATTTCCACTTCTATTTATTGTGTACTTTGTCCCCTCTCCACTTTTTTGTACATTTCCCCGATTTTTTTTTTACAATTTTCTAATGCATGCAACAGAGAATGCCGGATTTCCAGTGAAGAACAATCAACAATGAATTTTGATTCCTGTGACAAATGCGTCTTTTGTGCGGAGAAAAATTTGATTTTGTCGGGAATACCTGAAGCTCTTTTGAACAATTTTGCAGGCACATTTTTAGGCTCGAAAATGTTTTTGGAGAAAATAAATCAGAAAACTGGCGAACGAGAATGGGTGGTCGCAGACGAAAACTACGATTTGGCACAGGAGTTGGCGAGGTTGGGAAAAACACTTTTTTGCTGGAAATTTCGAAACTTTATCAATTTTTGTGGGAATTTCAGAAGGCTCTCCGAAAAGAATTGTTCAAAATTGCAGAAGCCGTTTCGGAGACATGATTCTGGATTTCGATCGGAACAACAAATTCCTCGAAGGCCTAAAAACGACGATTCGTGAGAAAAAGAAGGAAAATGACGGAAATGTGCACGTTCTGGATATCGGTAACTGAACATTTGTGAATTGATAAAAATTCAATTTTTTCCAGGCACAGGAACCGGTCTGTTGTCCCTGATGGCCGCGCGAGAAGGCGCCACGAAAGTGACCGCTTTGGAAGTGTTCAAACCGATGGGCGAATGCGCCAAACACATCACTTCCAGCAGTGAATGGAAGGACAAGATCACGGTAGAAAATCTTTATTATATATAAAACACAAGAGACGTCTGTCTGAGTAGACATTCTTTCAGGCTTGGCTACGAGCATTGCAGCAATGCTCGTAGCCAAGCCTGAAACAGTCTCTGGTGCCCATAGAAACTTATGAAAGGAAGTTGTTTCCATTTCGATTTATAAATGCCAAAACTCGTTTGATCATGTCGTCGTCGTTGTCCACGGATCCTCCGAACGTATCCATCGTCACTGAGTCCACGTGTTTCATCATCCGACTCCCTCACAGCGGTGCCAATCCGTCCACCGTCATCCGCTCCGTCCGATCCATCCACGAGCCGTCTGTCCTTCATCCAATTCCATCCGAATTCATCCGATCCATCAACGATCGATCCGCGAGCATCTTCCCCTTCATTTTTTCGGCCAGCCAAGAAAGAAGAAGAGGGGAGCCGGCTTGTTTGTCATTCTTACTCTTTGTGGCGGTTTCTACTGTTGCCAAAAGTTCAGCACACTTTTTTGCATCAATACCTCTCTTTCTTGCTCATTATTGATTATCCTAGACACAAAATACCGAAATATTCAAAAAGCCAGATGCTTGGTATTTTTCTTCCAAATTGTATACTTTGTTTCAGGTGATATCGGAGCGCTCGACAGACGTGTCCCAAATCGGCGGCTCCCGTGCGGACGTGATCGTCGCCGAGGTGTTCGACACGGAATTAATCGGAGAGGGAGCTCTGCGCACGTTCAAGGAAGCACTGCAGAGACTGGCGAACCGCGGCGCCCGGGTCGTTCCTTCTTCCGGAAATGTCTATGTCGTTCCCGTCGAGAGCCGGCTTCTTGACTCGTTTAATCGCATTCCGACACTTAATGGGACACTAGGTCAGTACTGTTCTCCAAGGTTTTCGTTCGCTTTGTCACTCAAATCCAGAGCGGATTTGCACTTTGTCCAACTTAGCGCAAATGCATCGACGTTGTGATAGTGTTCTAAACAGTCCAATTTCCAATTATGTAATACGATTCCTCCATCAGTTTTTTTGTAGATGAGCACCCTCTGGGCTCCTGCTCCGGCACCGCCTCCGTCTTTGATCTGCAGTTGTCCGAAGTGAAAACGAGCGACTTCCGAGAGCTCTCCGAGCCAATTGTCGCTTTCAGGTAACACAAGTCTGTCTCGAATATTCAAAACAACTCTCCGATATTAGATTCGATTTCGAGCACGAGGAAAAAATAATCTTCGACGAGTCGTTCACACGAGAGGCGATCGCCCACTCATCAGGCACCATTGACGCACTTTTGATGTGGTGGGACATTGATATGGACGGAAACGGCGACACTTTCATCGATATGGCACCCAAATGGAGGAATCCACACAATTATGCTGTCGGTAATTTCAAAGAGAGCCTAACTTTGCACGGTCTTCGTATCGAGCATATCTTTAGTGCAAGGTTTGATAATCCAATCGGCCTGAAGTTCATAGGTGCGCGATTTTTGAAAAACGCCAAAAAATTAATCCGGCCTTGCGGTTGGATTGAGATTTCCAAACCAGCGGCAACCATAAGCTGCTAATTTTTTTTCCGAACTGCCGGCGCTCAACTCAAAACACCTATGCTGAAATGTTCACCGAACATAGTCGATAGCAAGACTCGTAATTGTGTAAAGTTACGGTCCGACTTATGGAAATCCTTATAAATAACTGAAATTTGCTTGTAGTGGCGAGACCATTGGATGCAGGCGGTCTATTATCTTCCGGAAAAGAAACGTGTCGGGAAAGAGGCGAAATTCGAAATTGTGTGCAATCACGACGAGTTCAGCATGTGGTTCAGTCAGCCCGGAAAAGAGTTCGTACTAATCTTTTTGCTTTTCTCGATGATTTTTGTGAATCTTGAAGGATTCTGCTCTTTCTGCTCAAAAATACTCTTATTTTCAGTGCCTCGCGTGGCTACTGTACTTGCGGCCTTCACTCGATGCTCAGTCGTCAGACAATCTACCACATTAATGAAATGTTTGAAAATCGAGAGTTCCGAGCAGAAGTCGAGAAGGTAATACGGGTCTCACCACGAATAACAAGTACAGTAACCCGATTGCAGTTGTCCGAAAATCTCCACGTGGCAACTGTCGGCGAAGGATCGTTCATCGGTCTGCTGGCCGCGAAAACCGCGAAATCCGTGACCATTTACGAGGGAAATGAACGATTTCGAGCGATTTTTGAAAAGTTTGTAATGACTTTTTACAGATTGCTATAGATTGTTGACGAAAATTACAGATATATTGCCTACTACGCGATGAAAAACGTGAAAATCGTGGAGAAAACAAGCGCCCTTGTGCCGGAATCGCCGGAATTGGTGCTCGCCGAGCCGTTCTACGCGTCCGCCATGAATCCGTGGAGCCATTTGCGGTTCCTCTTCGACGTCGAAGTGCTCCGAATGATGCACGGCGACGAGTTGAGGGTCGAGCCGCATGTGAGCATTTTCACGCGCAAAATCGAAAAAAAACTTCATATTTGAAACTTGATCGGTTTTTCACTAATTTTCGATATGTTTCCCTAGAAACCCCCTAAAAGTCCCAATTTTGCAGCTGGGAACCCTGAAAGCCCTGCCGGAGCAGTTCGAAGACCTGCACAAAATCGCGAGCGACGTGGGCACCGTCAACGGCTTCGACCTCTCGTTCTTCGACGGAATCTCGACGAAAGCACGCGCGGCGACGGACGGAATCGTCGACGAACAGGGCCTTTGGGAGTACGCGGGACGGACGCACGGACCGCCCGTTCCCCTCCTCCACTTCCCCCTAGACGGACGCGTTTCCGACCGGAACGCCGACGTTATCATCGAGAATATGCGGTTGGTTCTGCGGTTTCCGTCGCAAGAAATCATCAAGATACTGTTGTAGCGAATCGAACGGAATTCCCTTGTGGATGGAATGGCAGTTCGGCAGTGTGACCGTGTCCACCGGCCTCGTCGGAATGTCTCCAGAAGGCGTTCCCGAATGGAATAAAGGGTACAAACAAGGCGTCTACTTCCCGGTTTCTCAACTTTCCGACCAGGATTCCCTCCGTGTTCGCGTTCGATTCGACAAAAACACCGGAGAGATTGACTTTCGGTTCTCGAAAGTTTTATAGATTGCTCGTTGATTGTTGTTCACTCACTCTTGTTGATTTCATTTTCATCTCGTTATTAATCTCTACATTGAACTCAGAACATACCTTTTCAAGCGTATCTGGGACATGCGTCGGCATTTCGTAACAGGACCTTTTGATTAGAAGGTAAATAGACTTTCAGATGTGTTTTTCTCGACTCGACCAGACGCTCGACCATTAAAAAGGGTCTGTCACGTGACCTTTGTTTCGAACAAAACATCATTCAAAACGTGGCACCTCTCCTCCATTCCTCTGAAACGATGCTGTTCGCGGCGGTGATCGTGCTCTCGTGGCTGATGACCACGTGCGGAATCTTTGTGTTCCTCACCCTCTCGAACACGGGACAACCGGCCGAATACGGTAGATACGGCAGTGCCGAGAAGAAGAAGAAGAAGGAGAAGGAGAAGACGTCCGGATGGACGGTGCAATCGGACGTCGGATGGATGCTCCAGGAGTCGCCGGCCTTCTTCATCCCCCTCTTCTTCTACTGGACCGACGAACATCAGAGCGCATTCGGTCTCTTTTTGACGGCGCTCCTGCTCTTCCACTACACGTACCGCACCTTCATCTACCCGTTCCTCGTCCGCTCCGTCTCGCGGACGCCCCTCCGAATCGTCGCGATGGGATACGTGTTGTGCACGTGGAACGGGTTCATTCAGTCGGTTTGGAATGCACACTTCCAGCCGGATTACGACGAATTCTATCCGCAATTCTTGATTTATATCGGCGTTTTCCTCTTTTTCGTGAGTTGTTTCTTGCACACAAAAACAATGACCGTTTTTCATGGAATTTCAGACCGGATTCGTAATCCACGTCATCTCGGACGTCCGCCTGATTTCTCTCCGCTCCTACCGTAATCCGAGCACCTACAGTATCCCGAACGGCCTTCTCTTTCGCTGGATCTCGTGTCCCAACTATTTTGGCGAATGCCTCGAATGGATCGGATTCGCGGTGGCCGCCCGCAGTTTTCCGGCCATCGCCTTCGCGTTTTTCACCGTTTCCCGCCTGGCTCCGCGAGCATTTTCCCACCACAAATGGTATTCGGAACGGTTCGGAGACGAGTATCCGAAGGAGAGGAAGGCGTTGATTCCGTTCGTTTGGTGACGAATTCAATCGGAACTACTCGATATGTTTTCTCTATTCAACAGTTTATCATCGATTTTCCCTTTTTCTCTGAATAAATTCACTTTTTATCATCCAAAACTGCTCAAAATCCAGTTGTTTACCTGAAAATTGAACGTTTCGCTCTGAAATTCCTTCTTTCTCTTCAATTCCGCCTCGAACAGAAAAAGCCCCGCCCCCTGCGGTTAAAATATAGTGGAACGCGGAACCCGTGAGATGTCGGCTGCTCGCTTTCATGACCCGGCCGCCGCCCGCGGATATCGCCGGTTTTAACCCAAGTAACCAAGGTTAGTATGGGAGTTCGATCGTTCGGAAACGAATGTGTTGAACATCTAAATTTTGAGTACGCTTCTCTGGGGTTTCCGGAGGGGCAAAAAATGATAATCTGAAAATCGAGGCGCTTGTTAGCAACTATTTGACTGACTTGACTTGAAATCAACCCGGGCGGCGAAGTTTTTGAACACTTCAAGCAATTTTTGGAACATGATTTCTCCAAAATCATGTTTCAAAAATTTAATACCGAACAATAAAGGCGCAACATGTTGCGACTTCAAAAGTGTTGTAAAACCAAAGGATTCAGGTGTGCGTATGATATGCAGCATTAGGCTGGTCGAACAGGCGCCTGAAATGTGAAGTGTGTGAATCAACCGTCAGAATGAGGGTGTCGCGCGCGCGCAAGGGCGCATTGAGCGGTATAAGGAAGCAAAAATGGAACAGGGTGAATTAGTATAACACACGGTCTCCAGAACTGACAATATGGGCGGAGTCGCGGGACTGGCTTTTTGAATGGTTGGCGCGTTTTTTCGGTTTTTTTTTCGCAATGTGCGATCCGTGATTTTTCTCGCCGCATTTTCGTTTTTCTTATTGTAAAACTCGATTTTTCTGAGAATAAATAATCAGTTTTGTTTTCAGTTCATTTTCTCTCGCAAAAAGGCTCGAGAACGCTCAAAAAACGTTTCAGACGATGCGAACTTGGCGAAATCGGTACATTCATGGACTGCAAGGAACTTCCCAGCGGAAAACACGAAACGCGGTCAGTCAGGGTTGTAGCTTTATGTGTTCTCGCCGCAATACGTTTCAGGAAGACTCCAATTGAGCTCTGCACAAGAGAAATACTCCAGTTGTACAACATAAATAAGCCATTCGCTCCGGTATGAAAACCCGTAATGGACGGTAATTTTTCGTTTACAGATAACACCGATTTTTCAAAAATAAATCATTTTTACGAAAACAAGAACGAATGTGACAAAGAAGAGAACGGATCAGTTGAATGACACATTAGAATCGTAGATCACGTTGAAACAAGTCATCTGCTGGACCATCAGCTGCGCATGCAGGTTCTCGTTGCGGACGGAAGCAAACCGAGTGTTCAGCGAGTTGAACAGTGCGGGCAGTGACTCAATCGACTGCTCGGTCAAGGGATCAAATGCGAACAAATCAAGTGCAGTTTAGGAGTAACAACGGCCTCCGGCATCGCACTGCGAAGATTCCGAACGAGAGAATTGACGTGACTCTCGATTTCATCGATTTCGGAGTCCGTTTTCGCCGATGTGTCCGCACTGGACATGAGATAGCCCAAATTCTCCATGACAATCTTTGTGATGAATGGATTCGGGGGGAAAACTGCGAGCAGTTTCGCAGTATTCACTGAGCGGAGAATTTTCCGGATGCTGTTTCCGTTGAACTCCTGGAGCCACGCTCTTTGGTCGACACCGAAAGAACGCAGAGCTTTTTCGAATCGTCTCCGAGTAGGTCCCGATGATTTTTGCAGGTTGTTCTCGAGCTCTTCCATTAATTCGGCGGCTTCCTGAAGAATGAGAGTATCCTCTTGCAACTCTGCATCGATTTTGGAAGTGAGTCGTCCGAGGAGTGTTTTCCGGGTGTCGTGTGACATATTGGCTCCATCGCTGCAGTCGAGGCATTTTGCAGTCGTATTGGGAAGTTCGTATTCGTCTTCATCCGTGAATCGGAAAGCGCAAACCGAATGAACTTTCCTCACACAATCGGCGCACGTGAATGAATGAAGAGGATGGAACGTATTCTTTCTGCTTTTCGATACAAGGCAAAATGACGATCCGCAAGATTCCGCTCGACTCGGACGTCCTCTGGAACGAAAAATTGGAAGAAAAACACGACACATCGGAATACCCGTCCAAAATTGCACTTTTTTCACTTTCCGGTTCTTCTTATTCTTCGCAATGCTTGTTCTGACACTGAAAGCCGCTGCAATCGCAATTTCTTTGAGATTCATAGCTTGGGAAGTTCCAAAAACGCAGTTTTCGAAGCGCTGTTGAACAAAAATGAATAAATCTGATTTGCGACTTAACCAAATTTCACGCTCTTGCGCTTAAGAAATTATTATTGACGCGCAACTGAAAAAAAACACACATTTTCACGGTTTATTTCGCACAAAAGCCACATTTTGCAATTAAAATTTGAATTTCCCTCCAAAATGCTGCCGTGTACGGCGGAGCGCACTTCCGCCCATTGTCAGTTCTGGAGACCGTGTAACATGAGATGATTAGGAAACAATTGAAACGATGAAAGAGTAAAAAATTGAAACGATCAAAGAAATCAAGATTGATTGGCCGTGTAGAAGTAGGCCATCATGATCAGCTCGACTAATTCCGGCTTTGCGCGCGATTGTTGCACCATTGCCGCACGCTTTATTGTTCTTCGTCTTTGTCTTTATTTTTCGGCTAAAAATCAGCAGAAACTTCGGTTTTCATCCGGTTTTTCTCATTTTTTACCCGTATATATCGCTGTTAATCGTTTTTTGCAATTAAATGTCAACTTTGAACACAGATTTATCGACTTTCCGCTTAAATAATCGAAGATTGCTCAATTTCTATTTTTCTCCTTTCGATATCAACGAATTTTGATAATTTTCAGGGTTTCCATCGTCGGAGCAGCCGAACGAGCAACAAAATAACATAGATTTCTTATTTTCGTGTGAGTTTTTTCAACTACCTGCCCGGAATGCTCCATATGTTTCTCGGTCTTTTCGACCGTTATATTCTTCGATATCTGTGGATTTTCGCAGTTACGACTGATAATACGACAGAGTTTGCCGTTGTGAAAGATCGGAAAAACACGTTGAGAGCTGCGAATGAGATGATCACGAAGGCGCACCAAGCCTGGAAGGAAGCGCCTGACGGCAAGAAGAAGGAATTCCTGTTGAGGTTGGATAATCTGAAGAAAGAAAAGGATAAATTTGACAACATCGTGAACGAACGGACTTCTCCGACAATTAGAATTCAATTGGGAACGCCTTGGAGCATCTCGCCGCGCCTTCTTCCAATCCTTCAACGGAAACCAAGTACGCCGAATTCTGACCGCCAACGAAATTGAGGCCACGTTCGCGGTATTCGACGATCGAATGACATCCAAATTGGAAAGTTTGAGAAAATCAATGCAAAACTTGGGAGTGCTCATGTCCTTGTCTGGAAATCGCCTTCTCGAGCAATCCGAGAAAACGCGTGGAATTTCGCATTCAATCTGGCGGAATCGGTCCCAGAAGAAAGTGTGACCCAAAAACTGCACATACTGCTCTTCCACGTGCCTGAAGTTTCTGAGAAACAGAAAACGCTGGGCAAAATCAACGAGCAAGGAATAGAGGCGAAGCACGCACAGTTCAATCGCGAGAAATCTTTTTTTTTTACTGTTTTCCGGCAAACGATCGGTTGTTTCCGCAAAAACAACCTGTCACGCTATCTCTTTGTGGTTCGAAAACGTTCGGACTTCGGAGCCGCTGCCATCCACACTCAAGGATCAGAAGAAGAAGCTGAAAGAAAGAACTATTGAGGTCGAGCATTATCAGATGCGAGTTGATGATTTGTCAAGAGCCAAAGAGCGTGTACATGAGGCGGACCCAGACGGCAAAAATTGGACGACGTGTTCCGAAAAATGGGATGTGACGGACGTGTGTGGTTCCAAGAAATGACTGGAAATCAGGTTCGCCTTCTTCTTCGACCCGAGAACATTGAGAAGGTTCTGGACGTGTTTCCCAAATCGCCGGATATGTTATTGATGGGCTCGTTGATGCGGGATCTCGGGTTTTGATGTCTCAAGCGAACAACGCCGTCAAAACGGACCAGGAAATCGATAGAATTCAACGTCGTTGTTGATAGATTTGCCGAGACACTCCGTGAAACGCTTCCTCTCGCAAACGTGACCCCAAAACTTCATCTTCTTTGTGCACACCTCGTTCCGTTCCTCCGAGAGCACAGAAGCTGGGGTCGTGTCACCGAACAAGGAATCGAGAGTCTTCACGCGCTCTTCAATTCTCTTCATCGTCGTTTCGGAAGCGTTCGAGATGCCAGACTTCATTTGCTCCTGATCATCCAGTAAAAACTGACCAATTTCAATGTAATTTTCGATGCAGGCGACTCCTGGTTTCCTGTTGGATAGTGTAACGATGTTCACAGAATAAATATTCCGTTAATTGTCCATTGCATATTGGGGAAAACCTGAAAAAATTCATCGGCGAAGAAAATAACCGTTCAATTTCTTTCTAACCGCAACTCCTCCGTGCTCTCCCGATTTCCATCCGCGTCGAGCGTTTCCATATTTACGGCGCTTTCAATGACTCTAAAAAACAAAAGTCTATTTTTTTTTTTTTGCGAAAAACTGTCGCGAAAAATAGCGTTTCGACATGTTTTAACAGACAAAAACTAAAAAAACAGTTGAAGTTGCAAATCCCGGCGTATCACCAAGTGATAGCAAGATGCGCCAGCAGTCTCCTTTGGTCTCATGTTCACGCTGCGACTCAGTGCAGGAGATGAATGGGGAGACGTACGATAGGTACATGAGAGCCATGATCCCGAGCATTGCCAGAGCTGCGGCCGTGAAGGGGCGGAATCCATATCTTCTTATGGATAACGCCCCCTACCACAACAAGACCAGATAGAAAGTAGGAAATAACTCATCGGGGTAGACGGAATCATCACTGTTTTCAGCCGCCAACGACCGGATCCAGAAAAGATGAGATCGTCCAGTGGCTCAAGGATCACGGCGTGCAGTTCGATCCGCGATCGAAGAAGAACGATCTTCTCTCTCTCTCTATCCAAGAGTTTCCTGGCCGCCAACGGAGGCAGAGAGGCGTTCACAGTGTACGAACTCGACGCGTGGCCGGATGAGTTATGGGGAGTTCGAATTATTAGACTCCCTCCCTATCATTGCCAATGGAATCCCATTGAGTTCCTGTGGGCACAGCTGAAGTTCTACCTCCGTCGACTCGGCCACACAGATGATCCCCTAGAACTGGGGGTAACGCAGCTGCAATAATTACATTGTTATGTCTTCAGGTCCGAAATAGAGGGATTCTATTTTTCGAGAACTTCAACGGATTACAGGAAGCTGCGCTCTTCGAGCATTGCCGCCGAGGCGAGAGACAAGTGAGGGACATGTTGGAGGAGAAGAAGAACATGGTCGAAGACAGCGATTTCAATGACGGTCTCTCCGATTGCTCCCTTTTTCTTGACAATTTTTCTGATATTCACGACTGACACGATTTCATATTTTTTAATTTTTACGAATTAATTTATTATTGTTTTCCTTTTCTTCCGCTTGAAGCGCTCGTTGCACGGATTCTGAAAACAGAGGCGGAGAGAAACAGATTTAGTGCATGTTCAGACTAACACGACAACATTCCAGATCTTTTGATGACTTCTTCGAGCGACGCGATACTTTCCGCTTTGCGTTGACGGCGGCGGAGTGACGGAGAACCTGCAAATGTTGCTCGGTGAAAAAAAGCGATTGTTTCGTCAAAAAACTCACACGAAAATAAGAAATCTATGTTATTGTGTTGCTCGTTCGGCTGCTCCGACGATGGAAACCCTGAAAATCATCAAAATTCGTTGAAATCGAAAGGAGAAAAATAGAAATTGAGCAATCTTCGATTATTTAAGCGGAAAGTCGATAAATCGGTGTTCAAAGTTGACATTTAATTGCAAAAAACGATTAACAGCGATATATACGGTTAAAAAATGAGAAAAACCGGATGAACACCGAAGTTTCTGCTGATTTTTAGCCGAAAAATAAAGACAAAGACGAAGAACAATAAAGCGTGCGGCAATGTTGCAACAATCGTGCGCAGCATATGCGTTTGGGAGGCAGGGCCTTGGCACGCTGCCAGCTTCGATTCCAATGTCGAACCTTTTTTTTTCAACAGTATGTGCCGCACGTTATCGTAGTGTTACTTTCGAGAGCTGTTTCGGTTCTCCGGAACTTGAGTGGCGTGGTCGAAACCGTCCAATTTCATCGCGGCCAATTGCTCCTTGACACAATCGATCGCCTGAAATACGATGAAATGAGACCTGAGTCAATAAATATCCAACTTTTTGACGATGCTCATCCTGGAGCCTACTCATCCTTTTAAGTCCAGGTGTGAGAAGACAAGCTTTGAGGTCCAGTTCAGAAATGTCAAGGCTGAGATACTCGTCCGTTACGATCCGGGCACTGCGGTTTAGGCAAGCAACAAGCTGTAATGAAAACCATTAATGCTTTTGTCATTTTAGCTGGTTTTACAGCATAGTCGTCTTCTTCTAGCTTTCATGTCCGTGAGAAGAGGTAAATAGTATTGTATGGTGACGTCTGATTTCTGTAATACGTGAGATGATGTTGAATAGTAGTTCGGTGCATTTAACCTCGAAAAAGAGTAAAAGCGCTTCGAATTTTTGGAGAACTGCCAATGACGCTGTTATTGTGGACCGCTCCTCTTCAATCTCCGCTAAGAGTTTCGTCACTTCTTTCATTGAGCATTGCGCAATCGATGGAGACAAATCAAGAATGTCGGTGCATCGAAGGAGAGACAACCAGCGTGTCTCGACATAGTTTCTGGGAAGCTTTGGCAAACGCATCTTTTGCTGCAGCAACATCAAATTGAAAGGCGTTTTCAATAGGTCATTTTTTGTAGAGCGTGGCACGCACAAAGCGTCCAAGAGCAGAAATGTCGAGATCCCATGGCTTTGAGATTCTTCGCGCCGTCGGAGACCACATTCAGAGATAACACGTCCGGCTCCGAGAGACCCAATTTGTCTCCGCACCTAACCAACAGCGCTTTGACGTTTTCCGCCGTTTTCACTTCATACATAAGACTGAAAGCGTAGGGGACGATACGAAGAGAAGGTGTCCCGTTCGCTGAGCAGACGAACGAGATGAATGCGCACATGTAGTTATGCACATGGCATCCGAAGTCGATGACCAGAGTAGCCGTTTTGTTCCGGACGTACGGGCGAATCTGTACATTACAAATTTACATCTCAGTATTGATTACTGCATGCAAAACCTCGTCAGCAATTGCACAAACGATGTCTTTTCAGTGTCTTTCCACCGATTCTCGGAGACACGATCGTGACGGGAACGAAGGTGGCTCATGCGCGGAGGAATAATTTCTGTAAATATGTCTTCATATGGCCATTATTTTGCTTCGAATGCTTACGAAATCACCATAATTTCCTGAACAAACTCTTGGAACGATTGAGATTCCGCTTGACGGAAACTGACAAGCCCTCCATTAACACAGAATCTTGCAATTGTTTCACGTAGCTGCGTTGTGTTGCGCACGACCAGCTTTCCTTCATTTGATTTGCACATCTTTGCTTTGTGACGCCTAGAAATTCAATAATTTGTTTTCCATTTCTCCAACAGTCTTATGGGGCTATTCAGGGGATGAAAAAATGATTGTTTTCCGTTTTTTTCCCTATTCGGCGATGTCAAAAAATGAAAAAAAAAACGGAAAGAAATGCATCGCTCGCAGCGTTTTTTCTGCAGCGATTTCCCGGACGCGATGCATGCGGCTACTGTGAGAGACGTTTTATGAGTGGATTTACGAAAATTTTTCTAATTTTTCAGCGAAATTGCCACATTTTCCTGCTATTTTCAACCGATTTTCATCGAAAAGCTCAATGTTTTGAACGATATGACGAGGCACTCGAAACTATCAAAAAAAAAGAATTTAAGCGAAATCTGTCGGAAATAGCGGTAAACGTGGCAATTTCGCATCAGTTACCATAACAGATATATGAACTGAAATTTCGTTGAAAATCGGTTTAAAATAGCGGGAAAACGTGGCAATTTCGCTGAAAAAAGAAAAAAAAAACAAAAATTTTCGTAAATCCACTCATAAAAAGTCCTTCTTTTTTGACATCGCAACGGAAAACAATCATTTTTCATCCCCTCTTCTCTCTTTTTGCCCCTCCGGAAACCCCAGAGAAGCGTACTCAAAATTTATTTGTTCAACACATTCGTTTCCGAACGATCGAACTCCCATACTAACCTTAGTTACTTGGGTTAAAACCGAGAAGATAGGCGGGCGGCGGCCGCGTCACAAAAGGGAGCAGCCGACATCTGACGGGTTCCGCGTTCCGCTATTCTTTGGCCGCAGGGGGCGCGGCTTTGCTGTTCGAGGCGGAATTGAATGGAAAAGGGGAATTTTAGAGCGAAATTTTCAATTTTCAGATAAACAACTGTAATAAACACCTTGTTTTATTAGAAATGAGACTATTGGTTATGAGAATCGGGTCGTCGCCGGAACATTTCAATTCTGCACAGTTTGGATCGCTTCTGGATTGAATCCGAAGAGCAAAGTGAACAAGAACTGAACGATTACTGTAATTTTGGCCATTTTGCGGAAATTACTTACTTGAACGACAATAACGACTCCGACGTAGGCGGTTTTGCTTTCTCCGGGCATAAAGCTCTTGTCTTTGACGAGTTGGAGAACAATCTGAAATCATAAAAAGTCGACAGAATTCTAATATTCATCTCTATTTTCAAAATCACCTGGAAATGCAGGAAAAGTCCGGTTGCGTGGACAATGTTGAGCAGCGAGACGGCGGTCGAAAAAGTGCCGAGGACCAGGGACGCTGCAAGTTTATCACGGTACTGGGAGGCCGGCGCACGGTCTCCAGAGCTGACAATATGGGCGTGGCCTCGGCGGCCAAACACGGAGTCGTGGCGGGGTACACTGGCGCAAGTGCGCTCTACTGAAATTTTCAAAAATTTTGCTTGGCCTAATGCTTTAAGATAGGGGCGCTACGCAATCGACCGTCGGCGGAAGTTCAAATTTTAGTTTTCGATGTACCCATGACGACCCCGTGCCAAATGGCGTTTTCATGACTTGAGCACGTTTTCTCTGATTTTTGTGGTCACAGGCGATGAAAAATGATTGTTCGACATGAAAAGACACTAATTCTCACAGAATTAATGACGTTTTGGCGCATTTTTCGCGGACTTTGCTTTTTCGCCTTCGCCGCCTAAAAACCACACTTCTCATTTTGCGCTTTCTTGACCGTTTTCGGACAGAATTGGTTTCGAGAATGATAAATCACGTAAATACAAACATCTTGAGCACTCGAACAGCGAAAATTACCGAAAAGCAACTGAAATTCACGCAGTTTTAGCCAAAAACCCTCAAACGGATAAATGTGATTTGCGGCTTGACCAAATTTAACGCTCTTGCGCTTAAAAAATTTGTAATAGCCTATACAATCGGTCTATCGAGAGACAAATGAGAAATTATCGGTTTTTCGTGGCTAATCTGGCAAAAAACACAAAATTTGCTGTTAAAATTTGAATTTCGCGCCAATGTATCGCTCTATTGAGCGGGCGCACTTGCGCCCATTGTCAGCTCTGGAGACCCTGCGGCGTGTTAGGCTGTTAACCGCAAGTTCGAGCCCAGCCGGGAGCGAAACTCTTTCGCATGCTTACCCAGGAACGTGGCGACGAAGACACTGATGGAGGCGAACGAGATGAAGAAAGTCTGACGGTTGAGAGCGACGAGCGGCGTCGGAAGGATGCCGTTGTCGAACATGAGAGCAAAGAGAAGGGGCGGGACGAAGAGGGTGGTCGGGGCGAGGGAGAGGATGCGCGGTCCGACGAGGTATCCGCTGAGGATCCCGAATGCGAGGGTCGCCGAGAACAGCGTGCTCCGGCGGTCCGCGTCGTCCATCCCGGCGTTCTTGCGAATGTTCATGAACACGTAGGCGGGAAGGGCGGCGAGAATGAGCAGGACGATCGAGGAGTCGAAGACGTACTGGATGAGCGGGACGAGGGCGTACGCCCCAGACAGTTGTCCGCCCGCCAGACCGATCAGGATCACCGAGATGCCGAGGTACATCTCGACGAGCGTGTTCTTCGTGTCCGTCTCGATCGTGTCGAGTGCTCCGTTCTCGGTCATCGACTGGTTCACGTAGTCCCGAGCATCGTAGGCCGCCGGCTCCGCGACCTCCTTCAGACGTTCCGCCGCCTTCTCCATTTTCCGACCTAAAAGCTACCATCAAAACAGTTATCGTCGGTAAGTACCCAGATAAAAGATGCCGTCGTAATAAGCGATGACGCGTCGACGCATCGTCTCGACGGTCGTCGTGAACTGTTCTACGTATCGTTCCGAGATCTCCGTCATTGCGTTTTGCACTTCACTTCAATTGACACCTTTTCGATTTTAGCTGCAACCCCTTGTTCTCGATGTCTCTTTTGATTTTTCGCCTACCGTCGTGTTCTGTCGCTAGAGAAAAGTAAAGAGTGCGAGAAAGCGCGGAAAACGGAGGATTGAGAGTGCCACGTGGCAATCGACGTTTCGGCGAAAGGGTCACGTTGGTGGAAACAAAAAAAGGATTCGCTCCCGGGTGGGCTCGAACCACCAACCTTTCGGTTAACAGCCGAACGCGCTGCCTATTGCGCCACGGAAGCACGCCGGCACAGGGAAAACGCGAACAGTGAAGAATCACTGAAATCACTGATTAGGCATCAAAAGACATCAAAACGTTCAAAAAACGATATGGACTATATAGAAAAGTTGGAATTATATTGAATTGTATGCTAGTTTTCATTTCTTGACAAAAACAGTGTACGCTTCATGGATTTTACGGATTTTACGGATTTTACGGCTTCTTGAAACCGTAAATTTGCGTTTTTAAGGATCCGTAAAAATCAAGTTTTACGCCCCGCCCTGACGGTGATCCCAAACAGTTGGCCACGCCCACAAGGTCGGATTTGCCCTGGCGAAAAGCCTGAAAACTCTTCCCGATCACGTCGCTCATTGTTTCCCGTTTTACTCGAGTTGTTGCCTTTTTTCACTTGGACTAAGGGGGAAGAGTACGCCGATGTGATGGTTCAAATTAAAATTATCGGAAATTGAGAACAAGTCCAAGTGGTCCAAGGACATGAATGATATTGCAGTGTTTTGCCTTTGCGGTCAGCAAAAAGTCACCCAGTTGAGTTTTTTATATGCATTTTCGCTCCAAGTTCAAAATTTTTCAAAAAAAAACTGCTCGTCGCTTTCTTCTTTACACACTTATATGAAAATTGAACAAAGTGCAAGGAAAAGAAGCGACGAGCAGTTCGGATGCGTCTGCTCAGCGTCTGCTTTTTTTCCCGAGTGTAGCCGTTTTTTCTGTGCACGCCGGCGCCGTGCTGATCTCGCTGTTTTCGGAGGGATTCAGTGGAAATTTTCAGCGGAAAAACCCGACTAATTGAAGGTTCCGCCGGTTGGAGACGATGATGATTATAGGGTTGCGTGAAAAGGATTTATGAGTGAGCGCCAAACGGTCCTTTCTGGCCAATCCGAATAGAATCTGTGATGATTTCCTTATCAATCACCACCCGAATACAGAACAAAACACGTGACGCATCGGGTCATCTTTGCCTTTTTGGCACGACGATTTCGTTGAAACAGTCGGCCGAATGGGCAGTGATAGCGAGAGAGTGATGAGAGACGGAGAGACGCAGACGACGAGACACACAATCATTCGCACGCAACACGTACAAACAACCGTGTTAGGTGATCATTCTGCATCGAAACAAATGGCCGAATTCGACGAGGTAAGCTTTACTGTAGGCTCGCTCTCGGTGCTTGCATTGAACTTTACGACAAATCGCACAGAACTCGAATCGCTTTTCAGAATGCGCGTGTAGTTTTTTCGCTCTCTTCAGAATATAAAATTAGATTCCGTCGCCCTCCTCTCGCTTCTTCTTCTTCTTCTTTCTCCCTCTTTTCATCCGTCTTGTCACCAACACCTCGTCCCACTCGCATTTCACACTTTCCCCCCCAAATCTTGTTATACTTTTCACTTTCACTCCGTGAGCACTCTTTTCTAAGCAAAAAAAAAAACATATTTTTTCTTTTCTATTCTCAAATTTGAACGAAAAGCGCGAAAACTTGAACTTTGCATTTTTCGAACCGATTCCTCTTCGTTTCGCGCCCTCCCGTCCGCTCTTTTCCCTTTTTCATATACAAATCTGTGCGCCGGCGCCCTCTTTTTGTTCTTTTTTTCCCTCTTTTAGACGCCTCTGACGTCATCGTCGTCTTGCTCTTTCCGTCCTTTTCCGCCGTCTCCTGAATGGCTTCTTCCTCGCTTTTTTCGGGCCAAGAACTTCCATTTCGTGTGTGTGTGTGTGTAAGTGTGCGTGCTAAAAGGTCTGAAAACTGAAAACTAATTTCCACTAATTTCTTGCCGACACACACAAATTGGCATGAAATATCAGCTGCTTCTTCTTCTTCTTCTTCTTCTTCTTCTTCTTCTCTTTCTCTGTCTTTCTCTTTTAATCCTCAAACTTTTCCGGTTTTCCCTTTTTGAGAGCATGTAATTCGACCTTCCGCTTTCCATATTTTCTCATTTTGATCCCCCGAGTGCCTCTGGAAATTTGACTCCAATTCCTTTCCGAAAAGACGGCTTACGCACAAATTACTACTTTTCCGCGTGTTATATGGAAATGTTGTGCATCACCTTGAAGAAGGCCTACTTTCAACGGATATTGTAGGTCTGACGAAAGTGCAGAGAACCTTCAAATTTGTTTTCCGAAATCTTCACGTCTAGTACTATGTTTTTGTTCTTGACAACTTTTTTCTAGGACCACTCTCCGGAGTACGGTGGCTCTTGGAAGTTGGCAAACACCTTGAGCGACTTCAAACTTCCACGAGCTACAGTACTCCGGGAAGTGGTCGTAGAAAAAAGTGATCAACTACAAAAACAAAGTACTAGACATGAAGATTTCACAGAAAATTATCTGACACCCTGGCACTTTCCTCAGACCTACAATATTCGTTCAAAGTATCTCCGCACGTTCATCTGAAATTGATTGTTCCACAATAGCTCTTTTTGTGCTTTCTCGGCACCCGAAAATGATGAATCCATTGTTTTGACTCTTGGTCCTTTTCCGTCCGTTTACCCCCCATTTGTTGCGCACATTTGCGAATCCATTTGGCTCCTTAAACCATTGTGTGTCCATGTATGCTTCCTCTCTCTCTCTCTCTCTCCCCCTCTCTTCCCAAATTATGCACAAATTGTATGTGAATGTGAGTGTCTTTCTCTCTCTCTCTCTCTCTCTCTCTCTCTCTTTCTTGCAATTTGTGCCCCTTTTCCTCCGCCTATTCAATTCAATTTGCCGCCCGTCTCTTCTTCAGAAGACGTTCCGCCGACCCCCCAAACATTTCTTCCTCCTGCTCACTCTTGATGACTTCAACGCGAATTCTCCACGTTTTTACGTTTTTTGGCTGAAAAATGCGAAAGAATGCGCTTACTGTAGTTTAAAGGCGCATAACTTGCAAAAATTTTGCGCGCTTTCGCTCGGCTGCTAGCATAAAACTCTCAAATTGAGCGATAGAGCGCGCCAAAGTGTCGGAAACCAGAAAACATTCAACATTTGTGGACGTTATTGATTTTTAGCAGACTTTGTCTGGTCTTCCGACACTTTTTCACGATAACGTTAAAAATAAGCGCTTCCGATGCATTTTTCGAACAAATTCGACGTCCGCTGGTCTTGCAAAATTTACAAAATTAGCAATAGAGCGCGATCGTCTCATTTCTCACGGAATACTGACGAGTTTTCAATCAATTTAAAGGCGCACACCCCCAGAACAGCATATTTTCGCTTTAAAACGAATCGCGCTTTCGGATAAATAGGGATAAAATAGCGAGTTGTCATTTAATCTACTCGATCATCTTTTCTCTCTCTCTTTCTCTCCCTCTTCTTCTTCTTCTTCTTCTTCTTACAACTTTTATGGAAATTTGTGCACGGCTGAGTGGCGTTCTCCCGGCCCTCGGGGACTTGTTTTGTGCCTCCGCGCTCCTTGTTTGTCTCGGCTTTTTCTCCTGAGAAAGAAGAAAAATAGAGGTCGGAAGTTTTCCCTTTTTTCGCCCAACACGAAAATCTATTTCCATTCCCATTTTCGTTTTCATCGGAACCTTTCAAATGTGTTTTTGAAATGCAACGCCCCAAATGCATTGCACTTTACGCGAGAGTGCACACAAGTGCGCTGCACTTTTGTCTCACGACAAATTGCACAAATTAGGCAGAATGAGCAGAAAACAAGAAGAAACCAATTTGTTTTCTCGAGCGCCCGAATAATCAGAGCCCATTCCGTCATGCTCCATTGATTTTCATCGATTTTTTTGTTTTCAGTTGAAATACCAAACGGGCTTCGGAAACGAGCACGCATCCGCCGATTCGCGTGTGCCCGATGCACTTCCCGTCGGACAAAACTCGCCGCAGGTATGTCTTATCACTGCCTCCGCGCCCCGGTGCCAGCCGTGCTTCCGTGGCGCAATAGGCAGCGCGTTCGGCTGTTAACCGAAAGGTTGGTGGTTCGAGCCCACCCGGGAGCGAAACGTTTTTGCTGAAATAAATTCTTCACTTCAGAAGTGCGCTCACGGGCTCTATGCGGAGCAGCTCAGCGGAACCGCGTTCACGGCTCCACGAGCCCAAAACCAGCGTTCGTGGCTGTACCGCATCCGTCCGTCGGTCATTCATCATCCGTTCGAAGCGTTGAAACCGAGCGGCGACAAATGGACGAACAACTTTTCGAGCTTCCCGCCAAACCCGAACCAATATCGCTGGAACCCATTCCCATTGCCGACCAAGGACGGCGTGACGTTCCTGGACAACCTGTACACGGTGTGCGGGGGCGGAGATGTCGTCAGCCGCACCGGACTGGCCATCCATCAGTTCTCGTGCAACGCCAGCATGCAGAACACAGCCTTGTACAACTCGGACGGCGATTTATTGATTGGTGGGTTCACCGAATTACAAAACGAGTTATTAAACCAAAAAGTTTGCAGTCCCCCAACAAGGAGCCCTGGAGATCACCACCGAGTTCGGCCGTCTCCTCGTCAGTCCCCAGGAGATCGTGGTCATTCCCCAAGGCATCCGCTTCTCAGTGGCGGTCCGTGGTCCCTCCCGTGGCTACATCCTTGAGGTCTACGGCACGCACTTCCAACTGCCCGACCTCGGACCGATCGGCGCCAACGGTCTCGCGAATCCACGCGACTTCGAAGCGCCCGTCGCCTGGTTCGAGGATCTGGACGTGGAGTTTACGATTGTGAACAAGTACCAGGGCTCGTGGTTCCACGCGAAACAGGCCCATTCTCCGTTCGACGTCGTCGCCTGGCACGGGAACTATGTTCCGTACAAGTACGACCTGCGCAAGTTTATGGTCATCAACACGGTCTCGTTCGACCATTGTGACCCGTCGATCTTCACAGTGCTCACTGCGCCGTCCGTGAAACACGGCACCGCCATCGCCGATTTCGTGATCTTCCCTCCGCGATGGGGATGCGCCGACAACACTTTCCGGCCGCCGTACTACCACCGCAACTGCATGTCCGAGTACATGGGCCTCATCACGGGATGCTACGAGGCGAAGGAGGGAGGATTCAAGCCGGGCGGCGGATCGCTCCACTCCATGATGACCCCCCACGGCCCCGATTTCGCCTGTTTCGAAGCGGCCTCCAATGCGGAGCTGAAGCCGCAGCGAGTCGCCGAAGGGACTATGGTAAGCTGGGCACGTATACCGTAATCCCGGATGTGTTGTTTGTTTTCAGTCGTTCATGTTCGAGAGCTCGCTGAACATGGTTATCACTGGATGGGCGGTCGGGGAGAACGTCGACAAGAACTACTACAAGGACTGGCAACCGCTCAAGAAACATTTCGTGCTTCCCAAATAGATTTCTGATTTCTACGATTCACTTACGCGCCACGGTCTCCAGAGCTTACAATGGGCGCAAGTGCGCCGCTCCCAACAGAGCGATACATTGGCGCGAAATTCAAATTTTAACAGCAAATTTTGTGTTTTTTGCCAGATTAGCCACGAAAAATCGATAATTTCTCATTTGTCTCTCGATACACCGGTTGTATAGGCTTTTACGAATTTTTTAAGCGCAAGAGCGTTAAATTTTGACAAGTCACAAATCACATTTATCCGTTTGAAGGTTTTTGGCTAAAACTGCGTGAATTTCAGTTGCTTTTCGGTAGTTTTCGCGGTTCGAGCGCTTAAAATTCTTGTATTTACGTGATTTATCATTCTCAAAACCAATTCTGTCTGAAAACGGTCAAGAAAGCGCAAAATGAGAAGTGCGGTCTTTCGGCGACGAAGGCGAAAAAGCAAAGTCTGCGAAAAATGCGCCAAAACGTCATTAATTCTGAGAATTAGTGTGTTTTCATGCCGAACAATCATTTTTCAGCGCTTTTGACCACAAAAATCAGAGAAACCTGCTCAATTCATGAAAAAACGCGATTTGGCCGAGGCCACGCCCATATTGTCAGCTCTGGAGAACTGTAATATATTACATTGTTATAAACTTGTTCAATATACCTTTTAGCACATTTTCAGATGAACAGTTTGAAAACTGTGCCCAATACCTTTGGTTTTCTCTTGTTTCTCCGTATTCCTCTCAACCCGAACACCCTGCAGATCTCAATTGGCCGGCTGATGAATGTGCCGAGTACGTCGACTCGCGGCTACGCAAAATATCAAATCAGGTCGTCGGGAATGCCACGTGTGCTCGCCACCGAGTCGGAAGTCTTCACGCTGGACGATGTGGATGTGGATGAGATTGACGAGTTGAAGCCAGAGCACAGGTAAGCATGAATGGAAGGCGCAGCTTTTTGGAAGCTAGCAAAACGTTTGTTTTTTGCACAGAATCACAGTGCCGAAAGAAGAAGAAGAAGAGAAGAGCCGTCTGGTAGAGTGCAACTTGGACAGTGACGAAGAGGACGATAAGACGCCGCCGCCGGAGGAGGAGGACGATAAGGGCCAGAACATTCGGCAGTCGAGCAACAGTGAGTGCCAACTGGCTTCTCCCTAGTTGCCTGCTCGCTCCCCTAACCAACGGGTGTTCCAGACTCGTCGACGGTGGAATCGAAAGAGCGGTGCCGTCTGCGCGACTCGTTCGACCTCGACAACGACTCGCTCTCCGACGACCTCGACCTCCTGCCGCCGATCCCCGGCGCTCCGAACGTCAACAGCTCGTGGTGCTCGAAACTTCATCGCTTCAACTGCTGCAACCCGCGCATCCCCGCCAAATGTACCATTATGTGAATATTGATTGATCTCACGTATTCTCGCCGAATCTCAAAACCCTCTAAAACAAAATGAATCTCTCTCTCTCTCTCTACAAGTGGCCGAACGTCACCGGTAATCATAAAATGAAAGATCCTCCCACTTTTACCCTTTTAAGAATCTCAAATCACTCAAATCTCGAAACAAGCTCATTTTGTCGCTCTCCCCAAATGTTCTGATGTTCTGATGTCAAAATTGTCTTCAGTTTTAATGCATTTTATAAGTAAAGTGTTACTGTAAGAGACGAATTTGTTCATTTTGTCGTCATGCTTTTTGCACTGAACCCTTCAGCGATCAGAAGGCGTCTGATGAAGTTGGATAACTTTTCAACCAGCGAATTTCCAATCTGTGTGTTCTTTTGTGGTAAACGGCGATGAAAAATGATTGTACGACATGAAAACACACTAATTCTCACAGAATTAATGACGTTTTGGCGCATTTTTCGCGGACTTTGCTTTTTCGCCTTCGCCGCCGATCGCCGCCTAAAAACCGCACTTCTCATTTTGCGCTTTCTTGACCGTTTCCAGACAGAATTGGTTTTGAGAATGATAAATCACGTAAATACAAACATTTTGAGCTCTCGAACAGCGAAAATTACCGAAAAGCAACTGAAATTCACGCAGTTTTAGCCAAAAACCTTCAAACGGATAAATGTGATTTGCGACTTGACCAAATTTAACACTCTTGCGCTTAAAAAATTCGTAAAAGCCTATACAATCGGTGTATCGAGAGACAAATGAGAAATTATCGATTTTTGGTGGCTGATCTGGCAAAAAACACTAATTTTTCTGTTAAAATTTGAATTTCGCGCCAATGTACCGCTCTATTGGGCGGGGCGCACTTGCGCCCATGTAGAAATGCTGAAATCATAAAAATGGTCACAATTTCTGATAAGATTGTCAAAAACGGTTCATGAACTTTTTAGGCACCCCGAGACGACACTTTGAGCCGAGAAGAGAGCGACAGCAAAGTCCACTGCTGCTCTTTGTGCCGCCCTTTCGCGCCTCCATAAAACCGGAGTCATTGCGTCGTCACTTCCATCATCGCTTATCAGTTCCGTCGTTGATTTATACAAAAAGCCGTCGGCGATGATAAGCGAAACGGAGAAAGCACGGAAATAAATGTGCCCCTCTCTCTCTCTCTCTGTCTTTCGCTTTCTTCTCCTCTCTTTTTCTAATCCGCACCGTCTTATGGACCTTATCATACGGTGTCTGCACACTTTTTCCCCATTGTAAACTTCTCACTTCATTTTAGGCATCGGTTTCAGAAAAATGAAACATTTAAAGTGCGACAAACCGGACACGCTTCAACCGGAACACGTGCAAATCACGGCGAGCGGACTCAAACCGGGAAGGTCCTATCGATTTGATATGAAGTGAGTTTGAGTTTTGTACGAACACTACAGTAGGCGTCGTAGTACACAAAAGTGATGACTGACAAATAAACTGAAAGATTGTTATTGTTTTGCGAGCAGCTGTACACACATTGGTGTGTCCGACAATATTACGTTCCCCAAGTGTTCAGACTTCGTCACAACTACGGATCGCATGCCGCTTACTGTGTCCTCAAGGCCGATCAGAACGGAAATATTGACATGGCGACGCAGAAGCCGTTGAGGGGCACCTATTTCGGTCAGTTTCTATCCGAAACCATTCAAAATCAGTGGCACTTCTAATTGCTATTGTTGCTCTAGAGACCTATTATAGTTGCACCGGACAGAAAGTGCGCGCTGTTCGCAATCTGACCCAATTTCTAGGCCGCGAATTTTTTTTTGAGACGAATGGCCAAGATTCACAAGTCAGTTGGAGAGTTTTAGTTCTAGAGATTTCTGGAAAAACCTGTGAAATCAATACATGTCGCGCCACGGTCTCCAGAGCTGACAAAATGGGCGTGGCCTCGGCCAAATCGCGTTTTCATGAATTGAGCAGGTTTTCTCTGATTTTTGTGGTCAACGGCGATGAAAAATGATTGTTCGACATGAAAACACACTAATTCTCAGAATTAATGACGTTTTGGCGCATTTTTCGCGGACTTTGCTTTTTCGCCTTCGCCGCCGATTGCCGCCTAAAAACCGCACTTCTCATTTTGCGCTTTCTTGACCGTTTTCAGAGAGAATAGGTTTTGAGAATGATAAATCACGTAAATACAAGCATTTTGAGCGCTCGAACCGCGAAAACTACCGAAAAGCAACTGAAATTCACGCAGTTTTAGCGAAAAACCTTCAAACGGATAAATGTGATTTGCTACTTGACCAAATTTAACGCTCTTTCGCTTGAAAAATTCGTAATAGCCTTTACAATCGGCCTATCGAGAGACAAATGAGAAATTATTGATTTTTCGTAGCTAATCTGACAAAAAACACAACATTTGCTGTTAAAATTTGAATTTCGCGCCAATGTATCGCTCTGTTGGGCGCGGCGCACCAGAGTTGAGCGGAAGAACTCAACGGAAGAACACGGAAGAATTTTTATATTTTTTAGAAAACTTTTTCATGGAATGTGATCAACTGACGAAATGTATAACAAAGTGAACTGTGCTCATAGAAAAATAATTGTAAATTTAGCTTTTCATACAAAAAAGTTCTTCGAGTCGTTCCGTGAAAATGTCCTTCCGTGTTCTTCCGTTAACCCCCTCAGCTCTGGAGACCGTGTGCCGTTCGTCCGACTATAATCTAGTCGTCTTTGCCCTTTCCTCTCATTTTCCGCTCGGCACGCTGTGTCCTGATCTTTCTGTCCGTCAGACTCCACAACTCATTCTCATTCTCCCAATTAATTTCAAATCGCTTATCAGCATGTTGCCGTACGCGTAGTTTCGTTTGAGGTCGATCTGAAAATGAATTGAACTAAATTACAGAAGCCGATGCGATGGGCCTATTTCTGTCGATGACTCCGTGCGAGGACTTTGCCTACGGTGGATATTTGCGCTGCACTCCGCCCATTCCCTTCTTCTACTTGCTCAAGTAGCCTTACTTTGCTCAATGTTCAGTTGTATAACGTAAACACTTTCAGACTATCAGATGAGAGCGGTGTCCAGTTGGATGAAATGTACATCAAGAAGCACTGGTCGCACCCGCTGCTCACCCGCACCGAAATCGAGTACGACGGCTTCTGCGGCACTCTTTTCAAGCCGCCCGGCGACGGTCCGTTCCCGTGCGTCATGGACATCTCGGGGACCGGAGGAGGGCTCCACGAGCACAAGGTACTCGCCCGTCTTTTCACCTAAACCTCTTTCTTTTCACAGGGCGCCATGCTCGCTTCGGAGGGATTCGTAGTGCTGTGTGTCGCGTTCTTCCAGTTCAAAACCCTTCCGGATAAGCTGGAGGAGGTCGAGGTCGAGTACTTTTTGGTGAGTTTGAGAAGCTCGAGAGCCAGGAACCATGTGCAGTGTTGAAGTTGATTTCAGAAACCGATTCAGTTCCTTCTGAACTTGCCGTACACGACGAGCATGCTCGGAATTCAGGGAGTCTCGTTCGGTGCAACAATTGTCGATTTGCTGGCCACTAGATATCCACAGGTGTGTTAATTAAACTATTTTTCCGTACTTCTAGGCCAGAAATTAGGTCAAACCACGGTCTCCAGAGCTGACAATATGGGCGTGGCCATGAATTGAGCAGGTTTTCTCTGATTTTTGTGGTCAAAGGCGATGAAAAATGATTGTTCGACATGAAAACACACTAATTCTTACAGAATTAATGACGTTTTGGCGCATTTTTTGCGGACTTTGCTTTTTCGCCTTCGCCGCCGATCGCCGCCTAAAAACCGCACTTCTCATTTTGCGCTTTCTTGACCGTTTTCAGACAGAATTGGTTTTGAGAATGATAAATCACGTAAATACGAGCATTTTGAGCGCTCGAACCGCGAAAATTACCGAAAAGCAACTGAAATTCACGCAGTTTTAGCCAAAAACCTTCAAACGGATAAACGTGATTTGCGACTTGACCAAATTTGACGCTCTTGCGCTTAAAAAATTTGTAATGGCCTATACAATCGGTCTATCGAGAGACAAATGAGAAATTATCGGTTTTTCGTGGCTAATCTGGCAAAAAACACAAATTTTGCTGTTAAAATTTGAATTTCGCGCCAATGTGTCGCTCTATTAGGCGGGGCGCACTTGCGACCATTGTCAGCTCTGGAGACCGTGCAAACTGAAAAGAAAAATAGCATTTTGATGCGGTAACAATATGTGTGTCTTCAGATCAAAGCGGTGGTGTCGATTAACGGGCCGCACGCGCAGAGCCATTACGTGATGCTCAAGGAGAACGGTGTGTCGATGCCAGTGCCACGGTACCTTTCACATTCGTCATTTCGAGTAGAAACTTTTGGATTTTCAGTCTGGACGACTCGCGTCTCTACTTCCTGAACACAATTCTCGTGACTGCTCCCTGTTTCAAGTCCCTCACTCCACTTCTGACGCCGGAGAATTCGATTCAATGGGAGCGAGTGCCTCTGGAGACGGCGTTCCGATTGATCGTGAGTTCACAGATCTTTCCTCAAGGCATCCATCGATTAATACGATCTCAGGGCTCGGTGGACGACTTGTGCTCGCCGTCAGTGCACGCAAACTTGCACATCCAGCAGAAGCTCCTGGAAACCGGGCACTACGTCGAGTTGGAACTGGTGAACGGCGGACACATCATGGAGCCGCCGTACTTTCCGCACCACGACATCGTCTACGCCAAGTTCCAGGGCTTCTACTGCGGCTACGGAGGCGAAATCGTGCTGCACGCAAAGTCGCAGGAACGAACGTGGGCCAACACCATCAAGTTCTTCAAGAGAAAGCTCGGAGCGCCGCCGCCGATGCCCGATTGGGTACGCCTGCAGACTGTGGAGCCGCCGTTGAAACCCATCGAGAATAGAAGCAGATTATAGACACATTGTAGGCGCGGATTCATAGTATCGTATGAAATGTATTTTGTGGTTCTCGTTCTGTTTCGCTATAAACAATTGTGTCGTGTTGGAGTTTGAAGCACAAAATCACTGTCTCCCCAACAGCTAATGCTATATTGAGCGCCGCGTTAAAACGGAGTGTCGTTGAAAACAAAAGCAGGTCTCTGAAATTTCTGGATTTTTTTTCCGAAAATCCGAAATTTCATCCGAAAATGAGAAAAATGAAGGAAAACAGAGAATTTCCGAATTGTTAATGACAGCTGTGACCTTAAATTAGCGTTTTGCCCACAAGAAAAAGCACATTTTTTTTTCATTTTTCTGTGAATTTCAGTCCGGATCCCCAAAAACTGAAATTTCTCAGCCTTTTTTGCATTTTATGGGCCGTCTCTGTGCTCAAAGTGACCGCCTTTGTCTGCTGAACAATCGTGAGGCAACTGTTTTTTGATTCTGTCAACTGTTTTCTCAAAACTTCCGAAAGTTTGCGTTTTTTCAAGCCAAATTTAAAAAAACGAAATTACTCTTCGAATTTTCATTTTTACACGAGCACTCTGTGTGATCATTTTGTAGCTATCGGTCATATGAACAAACGTGAGGCAAAAGTTTTGAAGGAAAAGTGTGCATAATCCCAAAAACGAAAATTTTTTTCGCCGAAGAGGAGACAGAACGTCACGGCCCGGCTTTTCATACATGGGACTTTCGGTTTTTTCAAGTTATCTCCAGAAATCGAACATAGGGATCTCTGATTTTTTTATAAAAGTTCAATTTTACTGTGTTCTTCAAAATAAGCCAGGTTAGAGGTAAATGTAAGGTTTCTGTGAGAAGTTACAGCTTCACAATGTCCAGTCCTCCGTATGCTTTGCCGGCCCGTGAGAACTGCAGCTACCCGTAAGGATATCAAAAAGTTATCCACTAACAAATTGATCACTGAAAACTTGTGCACATTTTATCATTCGTCCACATTTTGATACCTCTACCGACAGCTGAGATACATCTTCCTAATCAGATCCTCTTCATCTCTCTCTCTCTCTCTCTCTCTCTCTCTCTTTTCCTCGTTTCCCCCGACTGTTCGATTGCCTGCTCGCCTCTCAGCTGTTTCTCTCCGTCTCTCACTTCCCCGTACCTTTTCTTTCTTCTCTCGTTTTCTCTCCCACTCTCGCCACTCTTTTCTCTCTTCGTATCGCGGCAAGAGGGGCCTCACATCGCATCGCATTCTGTTCCGTGTTTGTGTGTGTGTGTGCGTATCGATTGTTACCTGTTTTCCGCTGGTAAAAGTTTTAGAGTTTCAAAAATTTAGAGGTTCTGAGCGTGTAAAATTCATAATGAGTAGAGTAAATTTGAAAATTTGAAGTGAGATGGTAAACTAAACCGGTTTTCTTTTCGAAAAGTTTGACGAAAGGCAACTGTAGCAATCATGTGACACTTATCGACTGATCACTATGAAACACTGTACCTTTTGTTCTGAAATCGTTTCCAACGAACAATTTGTCTGCTCAGACACCATTTCTTGCAAAGTTTCAGCTAAATATGCCTGTCGCATGTTAACGTACTTTCAAAATCGTTCTACTGAAATGATGATGTTTGTTGCAGAAGAAGATGCTGTACACGATCGCGGCGCTCGGAGCCTGTACGTACCTGGCGGTCAGCGATTCGATCGTCAAGAAGGTCGTCGTCAAGACGGTCAAAGCGGTCGTGTGGCCGGAGAGCGACGAGAAGGTGGCCGAGAAGCTGACGGAGCAGAAGACCGACTCGGAGGACAAGGACTGGGTCCTCTACTGATCCGACACAATGACGGAAAACGACTACGAACAAGAAGAAGAAGAAGAAGAAGAAGAATAACGTTGTGTACATTTTGTAAAAGAAAACAATCAATAAACAGTTGTACTTTGCAATCTTGAAACTGAGCGAACATGTGTAAACGAACAGAAAAAGCCTTTCTTGAACATTCTCTCTAGAAAAAGTCTGGAAAAATCACCCCCCACACGGTCTCCAGAGCTGACAATATGGCCGTGGCCTCGACCAAATCGCGTTTTCATGAATTGAGCAGGTTTTCTCTGATTTTTGTGGTCAACGGCGATGAAAAATGATTGTTCGACATGAAAACACACTAATTCTCACAGAATTAATCACGTTTTGGCGCGCATTTTTCGCGGACTTTGCTTTTTCGCCTTCGCTGCCGATCGCCGCCTAAAAACCGCACTTCTCATTTTGCGCTTTCTCGACCGTTTTCAGACAGAATTGGTTTTGAGAATGATAAATCACGTAAATACAAACATTTTGAGCGCTCGCACCGCGAAAATTACCGAAAAGCAACTGAAATTCACGCAGTTTTAGCCAAAAACCTTCAAACGGATAAATGCGATTTGCGACTTGATCAAATTTAACGCTCTTGCGCTTAAAAAATTCGTAATAGCCTATACAATCGGTCTATCGAGAGACAAATGAGAAATGATCGATTTTTCGTGGCAAATCTGACAAAAAACACAAAATTTGCTGTTAAAATTTGAATTTCGCGCCAATGTATCGCTCTATTGGGCGGGGCGCACTTGCGCTCATTGTCAGCTCTGGAGACCGTGCGGGCCCCAGAAAAGTGTCGAAATCATTTATTCACAAAGCCATGAAAGCGATCAAAACGGGCCCGATGAGCCATCCGAAGTGTGCGCCAGCCTCCAGGAAAATGTTCTCCTCATAACAGACATACGAGGTTTCGCACATTTTTTCGACGTCACGGGTCGTCGTGGTTGGCACTCGGGCGGTACTCGAACGAACCGCGGATTTTGAGGGCGCGGCAGTTGGAGCGACCGTCGGCGGACCAGTGAGAACGGCTGGCTCGGACGTTGGAACGGTCGTCAGAATTTCAGAGGTGGTGGTGGGTTGCTCAGTTGAACTTTGATGGGTTGTGACGACGGTAGACGCGGTGGTCGTTGTCGTCGTTGTCGTCGTCGTCGTCGTCGTCGTCGTCGTGGATGTTGTCTCAGTGGTCGTGGGAGGTTCCGTCGTAGTGTCTGCTTCTGCTCCGCCACAAATCCCACTGGCCTGGCAAATCGCATCGAGGTGCGCGAACACAGACCACGCGTACACTTGCTTTTCGCGAACTGAAATTGAAATCTTTCGGATATCCAAGTCGATCCCTTTCGAAACTGACTGTTCACTATTTCTCCGACCAGCACAACAGTTCCGTCAGCATCGACGGAATTCTTCCACTCATAGCTTGCCTGGGTCACCATGTACAAACAGGTGCGGGCTATGGTGTAACGATTTATTCGGAAGGAATCGTAGAAGTCGAAGAATGTAGAAAGTAGAAGAAAGAATAGAAGAGAATAGAATAGAATATACTGAGAAGAGCGATTCCGGGGTATTTAACGGAGTTCCGCTAATCGAATCACCGTGAATGTGCCTGGGAACGGCGAGGAATGGGGATGGTTATTATTATCGTGAGAATCGATGGGAATGCTCTCCCATGTGGTCATTGATCATCTCCTCCGTCGTCGATATCGCGATCTGCGACAGAAGACGGGACCCGTCGAATTAGAAGGAATGTCCATACAAAACGTATGTTTATACTTTTTAGTGCACTCAACCACCTGTAATGGTTTTTATGTCAAATCGGGAGATGAGCGGCTCTTCCAACTTTTCCCGTCTTCTCTTCGTTTTTCACAGAGTTCACCACCGTCACATTGTCGTCAATCTTCAACTCACTGGCTGCGAATTCAATAGAATCGATATCGATTAACAAGGGAAGGTTGCCCCCTCCCAAACTTGGAAAATTCTAGCATGCTCAATTTTTTGGTTTTTTCACTTTCTCAGCAGGTTTAGAATAAGCAGAAGAAAATTCAATTCTGGTCACGTTCTAGAAAATCCATCCAAAAAATTCGAGCGCGCTTTTCAGAATTTTTTGAGAGAGGGGGTCACAACCTTTCCTTGTAAATAAAGTTCGATAAGTGCGACGGACTTACACGGAAGACAAGCGAAATTGGATTGATTGGATGCGGACTCAACGACCACCATTCCCATCCATGTAGCTCCACAACTCCCAATCATTGTCGCTTTCGGTCGCGGACTTTTCAGTTGATCTGTCACGTTTCCATTTCTGAACAATTCGTCTATTCTGAATGAATCGCTGTCCGACGACGTTTCCCGCCTCACTTTTCATTGCACCGAGTCTCGTTGAAGCTCGCAACCATTCCTGCGATTATATTGAGATAATGGCGCTGTGAGATGCGGACCGAGTTGAAATTATCCACTGGGAACTTCAGACTTCCTCCACTGAAATCGAAGCACGTCGCACTGGAACTACACGGCTCACACTCACACTTTGCCACACTGTCCGTCGCGTTCCCCGTTCTCGTCCGCCGAAAGATCGCCCGCCGGAGGGCTCGTCTGTCCGTAGCATGTCACCATTAAAATCGACACCAATTGCAGTAATTTGAACATTCCGAAAAGGTCCTTTTTGAAATCGAACGTGGAACTGATTTACTCGTTATTCTCGCATCAATCATTAGTGACCGCAATGTCACGTCGAGTTTGAGCGAACAGTAAGTTGGTTTCTGGTTGTGCCCGGTTTTCCCGAGCAACATGACGATTTCCCGCAGAGATCCCCCTTTAAATGACGAACGATCCTTTTATTCTTCTCTCCTACATGCTGGTCGGAAGAGCCTTCTTTTGGGTGACTGTCATCCCGTTGCTCATCTGTGCGTTCGATAGTGAGTTCGCTTGGATGTTCATCAAGTTGATATCAGAAAATGCTTCCAGACTATTATGGAAGTTCATATGGCACTTCTTCAACAACTGACGCAAACAACGAAACAGGTACACGGACTCCAGAGCTGACAATGGGCGCAAGTGCGCCCCGCCCAATAGAGCGAAATTCAAATTTTAACTGCTAAATTTGTGTTTTTTTGCCAGATTTGCCACGAAAAATCGATAATTTCTCATTTGTCTCTCGATAGACCGATTGTATAGGCTATTACGAATTTTTTAAGCGAAAGAGCGTTAAATTTGGTCAAGTCGCAAATCACATTTATCCGTTTCAAGGTGTTTGGCTAAAACTACGTGCATTTCAATTGCTTTTCGGTAGTTTTCGCGGTTCGAGCGCTCAAAATGCTTGTATTCACGTGATTTATCATTCTCAAAACTAATTCTGCCTGAAAACGGTCAAGAAAGCGCAAAATGAGAAGTGCGGCGATCGGCGGCGAAGGCGAAAAAGCAAAGTCCGCGAGAAATGAGCCAAAACGTCATTAATTCTGTGAGAATTAGTGTGTTTTCATGTCGAACAATCATTTTTCATTGCCGTTGACCACAAAAATCAGAGAAAACAGTGCTCAATTCATGAAAACGTCATTTGGCCGAGGCCACGCCCATATTGTCAGCTCTGGAAACTGTGGGTTGGTAAAATACAACGAGAAATTTCGAAAATTCAAGTCCCAAGGAACCTCCGTTTGGTGCGATTCTGAAAAGTTCCGAAACGCAATTCCAACCAAAGACAGGCGTCTGAAAGTTGGTTTCAGGGCTACGTTTTCCAACATTCGACATGAAATTCCATGAGCTGCAAGTTTGACTAGACCGTGCCAGGATGTGTTCAACTTTCAGAGACGTCGACCGCAAGTGCCGTGCCTCTGGTTGCCCGAACAATATTGTACCTGGGATGTTCTTAGCGTGCTGAATGAAGAGTCCCCCGAATGGAAATCCGTGAATTTTGGTGAAAAACGTGAAATCATACAACGCATTGCCCATCTCGTATCGACGGTCTCCACGCCTGCAGGCGCCGGGAGGTGAGGGTCCGTTCCCGGGCAACTGTTCCGTTTCTAGCCACTTGAATTGTTCGCTCGTCCGTCTTTTTCACACTTTCATTCAAGCCGTCATGCTTCTGCCGCTCGTGAATTCTCTGCTTATTCTCCTTGTTTTACCTCCATCACCGTCTGTACTCTGTAAAGATGGACAATCTGGATCTCCTGGCTCTAACAGCTATGAGAGTGGTGATGATCAACCGGGAACGCCTGGTCCAAGCCCCGACGGCCAATTAGAAGAGTCAACTTCTTCGATTTCCCTTGTCGACACCACCGAACAAACGGTTTCTGAGCAAATAACGAGTTCCATTTCAACTCTCCAACCTCCTCCTACATCGGTTAGCACTGTCTCATCGTACACGTCATCATCTGCGTCCACAACTTCGGCATCCACGTCTCCAACTGAATCCAGCGCTTCTTATTCCACTTCTACAACTGAATCCTTTTCATCTTCCACGTCTACAACTGAATCCGACTCGTCTTCCTCGTCTCCAACTGAATCCAGCGCTTCTTCATCCACGTCTCCAACTGAATCCGACTCGTCTTCCACGTTTTTAACTGAATCCAGCGCTTCTTCATCCACGTCTCCAACCGAATCCTTTTCATCTTCCACGTCTCCAACCACCACCAGCACTTTCTCATCCGTCTCCGAGCAACTAGGAGTCTCGTTCTTTCCTTCTCTCACATTCAATTTCTCCGCACATCCATCAACGTCATCTGTCACTTCAAACGATTCCTTTTCGAGTTCCGGCACTAAAAGTACCACTTCACAAGATGACACCACAAAAAAGCACGGTAGAGAGAACCACATTGGTTTTTGCTGTGCCATAACTAATTATCAACCATTTTATCGACGACGTTTCAGATGAGGTCACACACACCAATCAAACGGAAAACATCGCCGAATCAACATCGACGACAACCACATCCGAACCGAGTACTTCTAAGACGACAAGAGCGACTACTGAAAAGAATGGTGAGTGAGGTTGCGGAATGTGGAAGTAAAACACTTTTTTTTGTTAGGCAATGGCCATGAGTCGACTGGCACGTCAACAACCGAAGAACCGACGACTTCAACGACCGATTCATCTGAAGACACAACCAGTACTTTGACGAATTCTGAAAGCACGGATTCAACGACTGCAACTGTCACATCCACGATTTCATCCGAAACAAGTAGGCCGAGAGAAGCAACTGAAACAGTTACAAGTTCGGCTCATGCCTCGACCACTCGATCTTCGACATCTTCTGAAAGCATGGATTCAAGTTCTTCTTCGAGCACACCGAGTACTTTGACGACGACCATTCTACCTGATGTCGTCGAAGAACTTTCAACAACGAAAACGAGCACGCCGAGAGAATCAACTGAAAGTTCTACGAGTACGGAGCGTGCGGCGACGTCCATGTCTTCTGAAAGCACGGATTCAACTCTATCGACAACATCGGACGAATCGAGTACATTGTCGGAGCGTCCATCGCCTTCCACACTATCAACTACCAGTACCTTCACATCCGAACCAACAACGACGGATTCTAACTTCTCCAAACAAACGATTGCGTCAGAAACGTCACCACAGTTCACTTCTTCGAGAACGCTATCGTCTACAACCGCTCAACAAGCATCCGAAGCCACATCTGAAGAGTCAACTGCCGTCACCGCTTCGGATGCCACTCCTTCTACCCACTCAACACAGTCATCGAGTGAGGACGGATCAACTTGGACAGAGTCATCGGAAACTGATAGTTCTGAGCGAACGACAGGGCCCAGTTTGAAGTCGTCGACAACTACTGCAAAGGCAACGGCGGCCGACAGTTCTCCGACCACTCTTAATGCTACGACATCGTCTTCTGAAACAATCTCATCCACATCCGGAGCATCGGAATCGGCAACGTCTCGAAACGCGACCGTATCCGACCGTTCTTCGACCACTCTCAATTCTACTACATTGTCTTCTTTCGAGCCGACAACTGAATCTGCAGTTTTCAGTCAGCACACGGCATCTACTGAATTCAGCAGTTCCTCTCTTCCGTCATCTGAAACTGTTTCTGAACCGTTTTCGATGTCTGATGGCACTACACAGTCAACTAGCACAATTGGTGAATCAGGGACGGCATCGTCTCGTGGCAGTACTGTCAGTTCGAGCGACAATACCACACAGTCAAGTGGATCATCAAAAACAGAGAGCATGGAAACGACCGCATCGGGGGCCACTCGAACATCGGCACAAACGAACACTTTCGGAAGTTCTATGATGAGTTCACAGTCATCAAGCAGTTCGTTGAAGACCACTACACCCGCATCGACAGTTTCGTCAATGCGAACTACCGTGAAAGCGACTAGTGGGACTTTCTCAACAGCGTCTGCTTCAAACACGAGACGCCAATCCGTCACGGACCAGTCGAGTACGACTCCCGCTCCGTCTTCGACAACAATCAACTGGCCAACCGGCGGCACCACACGGATCCTTCCGTCCGGAGAAATTGTATGCGATTTAGTTCGGTGCCCTTGCACACTTTTCAATTCATTTCAGATCATCTCGGAATCGCTAATCGCCTACAACAACTGCACGACGGTCCTCTACCAGCTGCTCTACAATCCGGCGACGAACACCACCCGGACAGCAGTGACCACTGATCCGAACGGGTGTGAAACAACCACTTCCCTTACCAATTCCTCCTCGACGACCCTTGAACCGAGCTCCACGACAGTGTTCAACTGGCCAACCGGCGGCACCACGAAGATACTCCCGTCCGGGGACATAGTATGGCTGATGATCTTCAAATCTTGTCATCCGATCCGTTTTCAGATAATCTCCGAAGCGCTGATCGCCTACGAGAACTGCACGACGGTCCTTCTTCAGCTCATCTACAGCCCCGTCACTAACACGTCTCGCACCGACGTCACGTCTGACGCGCAAGGATGTGTAAGCGATTTCCAGAATGTCCGTCCGGATGGCTCGGTTTCAGAAGGCGTCTTCTTCCGTGACAAGCGCGATAATCGACACGACGACTCCGATTCCGTTCTCTTTTCCGGAGAGCAAGACCACTCAGATACTGCCTTCCGGCGAGATTGTGAGCCATCATCGCGCACGGTTTTTCAATTTCAAATTATCATTTGGCGTGCAAAAAACGTCTCGAACGTCGTCTTTTCACAAACATTTCAAAAAAATTCGCGTCTCATCGCATCTCAATCCACGCCTCTTTTGGTCATTTCAGATACTGTCCGAGTCGCTGACTGCCTATCAGAACTGCACGACGGTCCTTCGACAGCTCATCTACAGTCCGATTAGCAACACGACGAGGATCGCCACGACTTCCGATCCTGAAGGATGTGTGAGTCTAGACGGGATTGGAATGTGTCCATGAACTGGATTCCAGAAAGCCGCCACCGCAACGACGACGTCGAAGAAGGCATCCGTCGAGTGCTCGTTCCCTCCGATCGATCTGAGTCACGCGAAACGACCGACGGCTGCAGAGCAGAAGGACGCCTACTCGGTCGGCGAGAAGCTGTTCCATCTGTGCGAGCGTCCGTACGTCATGGAATGGGCGAAGCAGCCGTTGAGAGTGTACACGTGCAAGCCGAATGGACAGTGGAGCGGCGTGTTCCAGAAGTGCATCAGTGAGTTCGAGTTCGGCTGTCATTTGATGTGCAAACTTTTCATTTCTTTCAGATCAACGACCGGGAACGACCGAACTCCGATAATTGATTGATTTTTGAGCGAATGTGCAGCAAATAAAACATTAAGAACACTTATTTACAAAGCCATGAAAGCGATCAAAACGGGCCCGATGAGCCATCCGACGTGTGCGCCAGCCTCCAGGAAAATGTTCTCCTCATAACAGACATACGAGGTTTCGCACATTTTTTCGACGTCACGGGTCGTCGTGGTGTCGCGTCTTTTAGGCGATGTCATTTTCACATTCGGTGGAGGCGGGGGTGTAGCCAGGGTAGGGTACGAGTGACTGAAAAGTGAGGAATAAGGGGAGTTCCCAAAGGAAAAGGATCACTTGGCGAGGGTGCAGACGTTGGCAAAATCGCAGATGAGCTGCAAGTTGCGGAGAGCCGAGAGGACGGAGATGTCGAAAGTTCCGTCCGAGATCTTGTCGGCCTCGTCGTCCTTGGTGAGGAACGACGCGAAGAACGATTGGTCGCCGATCACAGACACGAGATAGTCCCCGTACTCGCGAGATTCGAGGCTCGAGACGCACGAAGTCGACGAGTTCCCATTGCACGAATGAAGCTGAAAGAGAGAAAGTGAACAGGAAGTGTGTCGGGGGACCAACTTTCTCTGTGGGACGCACGGACGGAGGACTCGATGGTTTCACCGCGTCCAGTTGTCCTTTATAAACGTCCGTTTTGCCGAAGATATCCATTGAAGGAGCTGCAATTATTCCGAGTGAACGAGCAGAATAACGGGTTTTTCTACCTGGCATGCAGATCGGCGATCCTTTAAACTCCTCTCCCACGTACAACTCGACAAGTACAAATCCACGAGCTCTTTTTGTTGATGCAAGTGGTACTCACGTCCACCTAAAAAAAGTCAGATGTCGCATAAAACGTTCTTCAATTTCGGCTGTATTACCCGGTTTGGAGTGACGTACTCGCAAGTGTAGCTGTCGTTCGTGTAGCACGGACTCGTGGCCACCAGGAACTCTTCCTTGCCGATCGCCGTCTCCAGACGCTGCTTGAGCTCCTGCCTGAACAGATATCGTCCATTCGTTCCTCGTAGATTTCCACTCACTTGGGCACACAATCAGTCTCTCCGAACAGACTGCGAGCATGGATGATGACGTGACGCTTGCTGATCACAACCCCCGACAGTATCCTGTGCTCGGCTGGATTCGATGCGCTCGTCATCTTCACAGCACTCTGCCACGGCGGGATCTCACTGAAATCAGTGAATATCGATTGATCACGGACGGACCGATGGGAACCAACTCTTTCGCTAGCCGCTTTCCGCACGTCTTCACAAGAAGTTTGTTCTCGTCGTCGCTCAATTTCATCTCACTCTCGCCCAGGTTTCTGTGGTTGCACACCCCCGTCACTTTGCAGATTTGCCTCGAATAGAACAGTAGCGACTTGGCGTGTTGTGCCTGGTCGGCGGTGCCTGAACGGAATGGTCATAAAGTGATTGGGACCAGATTCGTTCTCACTCGTCCCGAATGTCGACCCGACAAACGTGGTCCGGCAGTCCTTCCCATCGGGATCGCATCTCTCGACCGACACCAACTCGAAGGTCCCACCGCTCTTCGGCTTGGCACACACATCTGGCTCCGGACCGGAGCAGGCGATTACTGTCGCGTCCGACTCGGATCCCCGATCTTTAGTCGCATGGAAGTGCAGAGTCTCATCGGTTGTCGGGTTCCGGTCTACAATTCGCTATTCTCTGTGCTTTTACATTTCTGCGAAAGTGTACCTGGAATGCAAAGTGGAACGTAAGGACCATCGTACTTTGTATCCTTCGAAATGTCGAGTTCTATCACGAACAATCCATTCTGTGTATCGCAGTCTCCAATGTAATGAATACTTCGGATCAAAGCATTGTGTTTCGGTTTTGCGAGCGGAAGGATGCTGAATAAAGCATTGACATGTTGGTTTTAATGATTTCTTACTTGTTTTTGGCTTTGCACTCATCAGATCTCCCGCTCACTGTCTTGCCAAATATACCAGAAGATGGCTTGGCAGCATGGATGATATGACGGGAAGAAATGAGCGGTAAGTACGTGTTAGAAGTCAAGGAGAATCTGGCGAAGAAGACACCACTCGATGAATCTCTAAAAAAGACTAAAAATTCACACGCTGAACACTTATTAACTCACGGTTTCTTGCCACAATTTTTCTTCCGTAATGCATTCTCATGTTTCGACAGTGCCCCAGTCCTGAACATTTGATTACAGAACTGTACCGACAGATTTTCAGTTTTTACCGCTACCGAGTTCGGCCCGCGTAGCGGGCCTAGGTTTTAAAAGTCTTGTCCAACACATAACTTACACTTCACAAACTCCGGTAATGTCACAAATCTCTTTACGAAAGTCATAGACAGACACTTGTCGCACAGAGTTCGCTCCTTCGCTGAACATGATTCCGACCGAACTCGTCATTTTATTATTGACGGCCAAGACGACGCCATTTCCAGTCTGTGCCTCTGGCGAAGTTGTGAAGTATGTTTTATCCGGAACTTGGTCCGAGATCTGAGAAATAATTATTTTGATTTATTTAGGGACTCAATAGCCAACCTCTGTCACACTCCCACTCGTGACATCCGCGTTGACATCTTCTCCAGAATGCATTTCGACTTTGTCGCCTATATTTGTCCGTGATCTTGGAATGCACACGGGTTTTGCCCCGTGATCGATTTCAACCACAATGAATCCGAAAGAAGAATCGCAGTCGCCAATGTAAACTGATTTCTTGGGCGCTATGTCCGGTTTGTCGACGAGAAACAGTTTGATACCGGGGAGAAGAGGCATGTTTCTGAAAGGATTGATAGAGGAAGAAGGGAGAGTTCCGGACCTACCCGTTGACACAAGTGGTTTTGTCGTATTTCGTTCCGCTCAACTCAAAATTGTCGTCGACGCCGAGACTTCTGCCGACGAGCACGTGCCTCGGAGAAATCGCCACTGCTCTCGTAATGTTCGTAGTGAAGTCGGACAGTTTCGACTGCATCCGTACTATGCCCTCTCCCGCACTGAAATGTTTACCAATTGAACCGTCCGCTTCTCATCCAACTCACGGGCTCCGCCCACAAATATCCTGAACGTTCGCATTTTCTTCCTCCGACAGTTTACCGTCCCTCTGAGTAAGCACGATGACAAAGAAGTGAACACATGCGACAAACAGCAAGAGTGTTCGCATATTGATCCAATGTTGACGTTCAACAAGAACTGACTGCAGACGAATCGGCGAGTGGCAGAGTTCGAACTTGATGACGTGGCGGTCGTGTGCGCTCGAGAGGACACGCGAAATAAAGTGCGGAATTGAGTTGAAGAAGAAGAAGAGTATGGGTTAAAATATGGATTGTTTGTTGAAGGAAAAGATCGGAAAAGTGACCAAAGTGAAAATATGTATTAGAAACACACAAAGAACCATAAACCCAAGTATTGAGTTGATGACACGTGGCGCATGATTTATTCACCAGAAAACAAGCAATAAAACCGAAAATGTAAAAACAATCGTATTGTCATTCAAAAGAGTGCAAGTATTCAGGTAGAGCACAAAATCGTACTCCTTCTTCTGGTTTTTCTTCTTCTTCTTCTTCTTCGTGTTCCCACCACTGCCATGGTACTTGACATGCATGTATTTGCTGAAAATGGATAACAGGCACTAACTGAGTCAGGTGACTTACTTGTTACAGATTCCAGTCGTCTTGCAAATGTTCTCCGAATAATAGAGCATCGACTGGGCTGTCAGGTTTCCGCGAGTACTCGAACTTTTCGTATAGGCCACAAATGTGAGCACCCACACGGCGCGGCTTTTGCGGCGTTCACTAAACGTTTGATCCTCAGTCTGTGCATTTGGCACGCCGGTGTTGCTCTGCGTACAGTGAATTTTATGTTACGCGCAAAGTTCATTTTTCTAAGTTTCTGATGAATTTTCTCCAAATATTCATCTCTTTAAAGCGTTTTTCTCCACTTTCTACCTCAATTAGACCTTTTTACAAATTCCAGGTGAAGTAATACGCGAAGAGAAGTCGATTCGATGAAAAGAAACGCGTGAGTAAGTGAAAGTAAGGTTTTATTCAGAAAATTCATGATTTCTCGAAAAACGTTACTAAACTTTCTAATCTTTTAGTCAAAAACCTTTACTTACATTTCTGAGAATATTTTCGAACCAAGAAGAAGTAGAGTAACAGCTCGCTTTCGCGGAAAAACCGAGTTTGCCGGAAGACAGTGAAATTTCGTTGAAAATTTTTTTTTGCTTCTACTCGGCAAAGGCGCGCCACTTTTGCGCAAACATTACGCAGCTTTTTCGCAAAGTTAGCGCAGCTTCAGCTGGCTAGTTGCGCAAAAGCTGCGTAAAGTCTGCGCAAAAGCTGCCAATTTCAAAAGTTTGCCCAAATGCTGCTTAAAAATGTTCAGTTTATTTCCACTTCATTTCTGCATGAAAAAGAATTTTATTGAGATAGTATAAAAACCAGAAACAAGTACCATTTAGAGATCAGTGATTGTATAGTCTTCATCACTTTCATAACTGAAAAAAGACACGTTGTTGTAAGTGAAAATGCAGGCGATGTAGGAGGCCCCATCCTCAAAATCTGAAATGCTCATCTACGAGTTTTAAAATTCTCTGTTAACTCACTGAAACACTCTTCTGATTCATGAATCGGAATTCATGAACCGTGTCTATGCCGCGTCTTTTCGCCTTCCGCCAAAAAAAAAGTGAATTCCGCCTTCTCAAAAAATCGATTCCGCTCAACTCTGGTTCCACTTCTCTTCTGAATCATATCTCACGTAATCATATAACAGTCTTAATTCGAACGGAACTCACCGAGTCTCGTTTCGAGACAAATGACTTGGACACCTTTTGGCTGAAGTCGATAGTTTCGTCCGGATCCGTTTCTATTCACAGTGGTTCATGTTCTATCTAAACCAGAAAAGAATGTGATATAGTACAAAAGTACGAGCATGTGAATCGTTCAAACATATTAAATAATTGTGAAGTAGCTCGAATTCAAGTGATTTCATACAAATTTTCAATAACACTCGCTTCTAAACGAAATCCGACTGAAATTTCGCTTGAAATGCGCTCAAACCGAGGAAATACGGAAAAAGATAAGTAGTTTCAATTTGATAAGCAACAAAAAACAACTAAGACGCATAAAAACAAGCTGGAAAAAGCGAACAGTACTGAAAATGCAAAGTTTCCATAACAATTTCGACATGCGCAAAAGCTGCGAGGACGCATAAAGTTTGCGCAAAATGTGCGAGGATCCTTAAAGTTTGCGCAAAAGTGGCGCGCCTTTGCCGAGCATCTACAGTCCGATTAGCAACACGACGAGGATCGCCACGACTTCCGATCCTGAACGATGTGTGAGTCTAGACGGGATTGGAATGTGTCCATGAACTGGATTCCAGAAAGCCACCACCGCAACGACGACGTCGAAGAAGGCATCCGTCGAGTGCTCGTTCCCTCCGATCGATCTGAGTCACGCGAAACGACCGACGGCTGCAGAGCAGAAGGACGCCTACTCGGTCGGCGAGAAGCTGTTCCATCTGTGCGAGCGTCCGTACGTCATGGAATGGGCGAAGCAGCCGTTGAGAGTGTACACGTGCAAGCCGAATGGACAGTGGAGCGGCGTGTTCCAGAAGTGCATCAGTGAGTTCGAGTTCGGCTGTCATTTGATGTGCAAACTTTCATTTCTTTCAGATCAACGACCGGGAACGACCGAACTCCGATAATTGATTGATTTTTGAGCGAATGAGCAGAAAATAAAACATTAAGAACACTTATTCACAAAGCCATGAAAGCGATCAAAACGGGCCCGATGAGCCATCCGACGCGTGCGCCAGCCTCCTGGAAAATGTCACGGGCCGTCGCGGTGTCGCGTCCTTTAGGCGATGTCATTTTCACATTCGGTGGAGGTGGGGGTGTAGCCAGGGTAGGGTGGACGATACTCTTTTTTGCAGATTGTCTCGATTATCGGTGCGCGACGTCAGAGTTCCATCAAAAATTGCTGTGAATCGGATGGAAGACGTCGTTGATAACACTTTCATTGAGCCGTTTTTTGTCGGAAACTCGGTAAACAGACGATGCTGCCGTTTTCCCTATCAACTAATCTATTCAGGACAAAATCAGCGCGTTTTACTACGTGGCACCGCCTCTTGTCAAATGGTGCTCCAGCTACAACTCCCGTAGCACTTCTCAGATGATTGTGCACAAAAACCGCCGCATCGCCGTCACTTTCGATTGTAACAAGAATGCAGGTACATTTTTCACCCATTTTCAACAATTTATGCCGATTTTCAGTACTTCCGTCGCCGCGAACTATCGTCAAAACGATGATTCTCGCCGTGTTCACCGCCGCCTTTGTCTTCGTTGTCAAATCGATCCCCTTTGAATTGTATCCTCAAAAAAAGCAAAAATTTGATATAAAAACCATCCATTTTCAGTATGATTCTGCAAGCCGCCGGAAAAATGCGACGATCTACAAGACGACGAAAGCGACAACACGAGCGAGTCGTCGAGCGACAGCCTCCTCATCGACGACGCCAATGACATCGTCGAGCAGACCTCGTTTATGGAACGGCTCGAGAAGTGGGACGGCTCCAAGATGGACTCAATTTACGACTAATTCTCGCACATTTTACGGCACTCACTTACCCTTCTTTCATTTTTATCACTTTTTTTCATTTGTGTTATAGTTTTTTTCAGTGAAATGGAAACTAATTTCAGAGTAACTATGATTTTACATTGATCGACGCTGTATCGGACCGGAAAGAGGAAATCCTCTGGGAAATGGAACTCAAAAATCATTTCAAAGACCGTTAGAACTGTTCGATCCGACCCAAAACCATTCTGCGTAAACCTTTATAACAATTCGGGTGGAATAAAATGTATTGAGCATTAAATGATCATAGAGTTGAAAAATGCTTGTAAAGTTTGAAAACCGGAGAGATCAGTGAGGATGCACTTCCTGAAGTGGTCGATCGTCTTCGGTGAGCAACTGGGCGATTCGAGCGATGAGGTAGGCGATGTGAATGGAGACGACTCCGCAGACGATTGTAAGCCAGAAGTGTCTGGAAACTAGTGTTTTTAGGTAGGCTATCAGAAATACTAACAGTTTTTCACCAAACTCTCGTTGTTCCGCATCCTCTTTCGCAAGCTTTTCGTCGATCCAAGTGGTGTCGCATTTCGAGAAGCAAATGTGATCGGGTGTCATGTTCTGGAAGACAAAGGGGATTTTTGAGTCTGTAAAAAGAGTTTCCAAACCTCATCACACCAACAATTGGCCCGTTCCCACTCGTCCACCTCCTCCGCCACGTCTTCTTCCGCCGTGAATTTGTTATGGAGCCATTTGTGCACCTTCCTCAGTACCGGAATCATTCTCTTCAGCTTCAACTGATGTTTCGTGTGTCCATTCTGGAATCCAACGAACCAGTGCAACGCGGAAAGTTCTCCGAACGCTTGTTGATCGAACAGTTTGTCGGTTTGAAAGAACGGCAACGACAAATTCGCAGCGATTTCCAGGATCTTGATGTGTTCGAGGAGGGAGTCGTTGTGCGCAGTGTACAATCGGTACTCGATGTTTGAGAGGCCGTCCAGGTAAGTGTTGAAGGAATCGTAGACGGTGTCCCACTGCCGTTTGACCTCGTGCACATCGGCCAACTGGATGTACTTGAACTGCAGACTCAGATCCGTGTTCCACATGCGCATCGTCTCTCTCCGATCGTAGAATTCTATCAAATTGCGGAACGCGTCGAGTCCCTCGTTGATCTTCCGAATCTCTTCTTTAGTGATCTTGAAGGTCTTGAGAAGAGCACGCACCGGGAACCCAAAGTTGCGGAGCATCCCCTCAATAGTCGCTACGTGCGCCGGCACATTCTCTCCGTATCCCTCCATTCCGAGTGCCTGAACAATGTAGGTGGCGTATCTGACATCATCGAGTCTCCCGGCGTGCCAGACTTCTCTCGAGGCGTCCAGAGTACGTTGAATCTCATCGACGGAGGTCTTGTTGAGACAGAGAATGATTCCTTTGACACCGCTCGACTCGATCTTTGTCTTCGATTGTTGGAAAGTCTCGGACAACGGTGCAACCGACAAACCACCCTGTTTCTGATGTCGTTCACTAAGAACATTCGCAATGTCTGAGGGGACCGCACAGAAGTCGACGCCTCCGATCTCCTTCTTGACCGTTCGGAGCATCTCGTAGTCGATGTGCCAGATGGAGTCGGCGACCGTCTTCTCAATGTGATGCGTGTTTGGATTTGCAAATGCTTCCGTCACTTTCGGGTCCGCGATTCTTCTCAGTGAATTGCAAACTTTCGCCGGCCCGTCGATAATCTTATCGATCTCCTTGAAGTCGTCAATCCAAGAACTCAACGCGCTGTCCTCGTATCTCAGGTCCTCCGGCTGCAACGGCATTTCCAGACACTTCCGAACATCTTCAAACTTGGCGAGCACGTCTCCGGCGGGCAGAGTCTCGTTGATGAACGTGATGCGGTCCATGTAGAAGAATAGATGTTCGAAGGTGTCGTAGTACTTCTCGACTCTTTCACAAACATCATCCAACTCCTTGCCAAACTGTTTGAAGAACTCGAGATGCTGCAGGAACGGCTCCATCACATTGAACAGCTTTTTCGTCGGTCTTCCTTTTATTAGACTGCGGATCCACTGGTTATTCTTCTGCTTGCTCACTCTGCCGACGTCATCGAGTAGGCTAGGAATCGCAGAGCACGAGTCTCTTCCTCGTTTCGCGTAGTTGAGCAAGTTTCGGAGGTCCGATGCGGCTCCGTCTTTCAGCATCATTTCCAGATTCTGCACGTCCGTCTCGTAACTTTTGGCATCGGCCAATGATAACTGCAATCCACTAAGTTTATGGTACGCATCGCGAACGGTGACGACAGCACGGCGCACGATTCCAGGAGCGTCTTTGTGGAACAGAGAAAAGTCCTTCTTGGCGTTGTTCTCGAAGAACTTTTTGGAGAAGGTTTGAGCGGCCGAGAGGGTGGCAGTGTTTCCCTTATGCTTGTCGAACCACTCGACGACGGCGACCCGATCCAGAATCGGCTGATCCTTGGGAGCCAGTTCGTGCAGCTCCGCCAGCCACTCGACCAGTCCGCCCACACTCCCATCGTCCGTGAAGTTCGCGAATCGATCGGGGGACGATGTGTTCAGATTTTCGACGAACCTAGGAAACCCGTCGATGACGTCACTGGTGACGGCCTCCATCGTCGCGAGTTCGCCGTTCAGTTCGTACGCGAGGGCGAATGCGTGCTCGAATGCTCTCCGCTCTTCCTCGTTGCCGGACCACGGCTTCCGCTTCTCAAACAGCGCCAGAAAGTTCCGATACTCCCAGGATCCGGTCAACATTAGATTCGAGCCGTAACTTTTGATGATTTCGTAGTCGACGTTGTGGCCGACCATCTGATTCGTGACGTTCTGCGGGCTGATTGTGCCATCGACAAGTCCTCGTTCCAGGTACAAGATATTGAGGATCGACGGCAAGAGGGTCATGTTCTCGATCCAACCGGCTAGCAGCGCCTTTCCGTACACTGGCAACACACTTTTCAGATTTTGTGCTAATACTAATGCCTACCTTCTCTAGGAAAGTCTTCGGGCATCGGCTCGTCCCAGTCGTACTTGCTGGAGCGATCTGAAGTTTTCATTTAAAAGTGTCATGCCTTACAAAATATACGTTTTTTTTTGAAAAAGAAGTTCAAATGTTTTCAAAGTCCCAAATTCTGAATGAATTTCAAAAAAGAACACGACAGGAGGAGTTTTCTATTCCTCCGGTTGCCAGACTTGCAAAAATTCAAGATTTTTAATTTCGTTCCGGAGGCCGTCCATAAAAACACAAAAATGTCGAATCTCAGGGTCAGAATCGAATTTCAGACAGAATTATCCGAGAGCCGCACGAAGAATCGATAACTTTGTGCAGTAATTTTGTGTACAACTAACCACGCGTGGTGTCGCGTCTTTTTAGGCGATGTCGTTTTCACAGGGACATTCGGTGGAGGCGGGGGGTGTAGCCAGGGTAGGGTACGAGTGACTGAAAAGTGAGGAATAAGGGGAGTTCCCAAAGGAAAAGGATCACTTGGCGAGGGTGCAGACGTTGGCAAAATCGCAGATGAGCTGCAAGTTGCGGAGAGCCGAGAGGACGGAGATGTCGAAAGTTCCGTCCGAGATCTTGTCGGCCTCGTCGTCCTTGGTGAGGAACGACGCGAAGAACGATTGGTCGCCGATCACAGACACGAGATAGTCCCCGTACTCGCGAGATTCGAGGCTCGAGACGCACGAAGTCGACGAGTTCCCATTGCACGAATGAAGCTGAAAGAGAGAAAGTGAACAGGAAGTGTGTCGGGGGACCAACTTTCTCTGTGGGCCGCACGGACGGAGGACTCGATGGTTTCACCGCGTCCAGTTGTCCTTTATAAACGTCCGTTTTGCCGAAGATATCCATTGAAGGAGCTGCAATTATTCCGAGTGAACGAGCAGAGTAACGGGTTTTTTTCTACCTGGCATGCAGATCGGCGATCCTTTAAACTCCTCTCCCACGTACAATTCGACAAGTACAAATCCACGAGCTCTTTTGTTGATGCAAGTGGTACTCACGTCCACCTAAAAAGTCAGATGTCGCATAAAAACGTTCTTCAATTTCGGCTGTATTACCCGGTTTGGAGTGACGTACTCGCAAGTGTAGCTGTCGTTCGTGTAGCACGGACTCGTGGCCACCAGGAACTCTTCCTTGCCGATCGCCGTCTCCAGACGCTGCTTGAGCTCCTGCCTGAACAGATATCGTCCATTCGTTCCTCGTAGATTTCCACTCACTTGGGCACACAATCAGTCTCTCCGAACAGACTGCGAGCATGGATGATGACGTGACGCTTGCTGATCACAACCCCCGACAGTATCCTGTGCTCGGCTGGATTCGATGCGCTCGTCATCTTCACAGCACTCTGCCACGGCGGGATCTCACTGAAATCAGTGAATATCGATTGACCACGGACGGACCGATGGGAACCAACTCTTTCGCTAGCCGCTTTCCGCACGTCTTCACAAGAAGTTTGTTCTCGTCGTCGCTCAATTTCATCTCACTCTCGCCCAGGTTCCTGTGGTTGCACACCCCCGTCACTTTGCAGATTTGCCTCGAATAGAACAGTAGCGACTTGGCGTGTTGTGCCTGGTCGGCGGTGCCTGAACGGAATGGTCATAAAGTGATTGGGACCAGATTCGTTCTCACTCGTCCCGAATGTCGACCCGACAAACGTGGTCCGGCAGTCCTTCCCATCGGGATCGCATCTCTCGACCGACACCAACTCGAAGGTCCCACCGCTCTTCGGCTTGGCGCACACATCTGGCTCCGGACCGGAGCAGGCGATTACTGTCGCGTCCGACTCGGATCCCCGATCGTTAGTCGCATGGAAGTGCAGAGTCTCATCGGTTGTCGGGTTCCGGTCTACAATTCGCTATTCTCTGTGCTTTTACATTTCTGCGAAAGTGTACCTGGAATGCAAAGTGGCACGTAAGGACCATCGTACTTTGTATCCTTCGAAATGTCGAGTTCTATCACGAACAATCCATTCTGTGTATCGCAGTCTCCAATGTAATGAATACTTCGGATCAAAGCATTAGTTAATGGGTTGGCGAGCAAAAGAATTCTGAATGGATGAGTGAAATTTTTATTTTTATTTTTTTCTCACTTGTTCTTGGCTTTGCACTCCTCAGATCTTCCGCTTACTACATTGTCTCCAAATGTATCAGAAGATGGATCGGCAACACGAATGAGATGACGGGAAGAAATGAGCGGTACGTACGTGTTAGAAGTCAAGGAGAATCTGGCGAAGAAGACACCACTCGATGAATCTCTAAAAAAAACTAAAAATTCACACTTTGAACACTTATTAACTCACGGTTTCTTGCCACAATTTTTCTTCCGTAATGCATTCTCATGTTTCGACAGTGCCCCAGTTCTGAATATTTGATTACAGTATTGCATAAAAAGTTCATATTTTACTAATTTTAAGTTAATACAAAACTACTCAAGACCTGGACCGAGGTCTTGATAGCCTTTCTGAGTAAACACTTACACTTCACATAATCCTGTGAAGTCACAAATCTCCTTGCGAAAGCCGTAGACAGACAATTGTCGCAGAGAGTTCGCTCCTTTCGTGTACATGATTCCAATCGCACTCGACACTTTATTGTTGACTGCCAAGACGACGCCATTTCCATTATGTGCTTCTGGTGAAGTTGTGAAGTATGTTTTATCCCGAACTTGGTTCAAGATCTGGAAAACAACTCTTTTTACGCAAATAGGCAGAGGATAATCAACCTCTGTCACACTCCCACTCGTGACATCCGCGTTGACATCTTCTCCGGAATGCATTTCGACTTTGTCGCCTATATTTGGCAGTGATCTTGGAATGCACACGGGTTTTGCTCCGTGATCGATTTCAACCACAATGAATCCGAAAGAAGACGCACAGTCGCCAATGTAAACTGATTTCTTGGCCGCTATGTCCGGTTTGTCGACGAGAAACAGTTTGATACCGGGGAGAAGAGGCATGTTTCTGAAAAGATTGATAGAGGAAGAAGGGAGAGTTCCGGACCTACCCGTTGACACAAGTGGTCTTGTCGTATTTCGTTCCGCTCAACTCAAAATTGTCGTCGACGCCGAGACTTCTGCCGACGAGCACGTGTCTCGGAGAAATCGCCACCGCTCTCGTAATGTTCGTAGTGAAGTCGGACAGTTTCGACTGCATCCGTACTATGCCCTCTCCCGCACTGAAATGTTTACCAATTGAACCGTCCGCTTCTCATCCAACTCACGGGCTCCGCCCACAAATATCCTGAACGTTCGCATTTTCTTCCTCCGACAGTTTACCGTCCCTCTGAGTAAGCACGATGACAAAGAAGTGAACACATGCGACAAACAGCAAGAGTGTTCGCATATTGATCCAATGTTGACGTTCAACAAGAACTGACTGCAGACGAATCGGCGAGTGGCAGAGTTCGAACTTGATGACGTGGCGGTCGTGTGCGGTCGAGAGGACACGCGAAATAAAGTGCGGAATTGAGTTGAAGAAGAAGAAGAGTATGGGTTAGGGCGCGAAATATGGATTGTTTGTTGAAGGAAAAGATCGGAAAAGTGGCCAAAGTGAAAATATGTATTAGAAACACACAAAGAACCATAAACCCAAGTATTGAGTTGATGACACGTGGCGCATGATTTATTCACCAGAAAACAAGCAATAAAACCGAAAATGTAAAAACAATCGTATTGTCATTCAAAAGAGTGCAAGTATTCAGGTAGAGCACAAAATCGTACTCCTTCTTCTGGTTTTTCTTCTTCTTCTTCTTCTTCGTGTTCCCACCACTACCATGGTACTTGACATGCATGTATTTGCTGAAAATGGATAACAGGCACTAACTGAGTCAGGTGACTTACTTGTTACAGATTCCAGTCGTCTTGCAAATGTTCTCCGAATAATAGAGCATCGACTGGGCTGTCAGGTTTCCGCGAGTACTCGAACTTTTCGTATAGGCCACAAATGTGAGCACCCACACGGCGCGGCTTTTGCGACGTTCACTAAACGTTTGATCCTCAGTCTGTGCATTTGGCACGCCGGTGTTGCTCTGCGTACAGTGAATTTTATGTTACGCGCAAAGTTCATTTTTCTAAGTTTTTGATGAATTTTCTCCAAATATTCATCTCTTTAAAGCGTTTTTCTCCACTTTCTACCTCAATTAGACCTTTTTACAGATTCCAGGTGAAGTAATACGCGAAGAGAAGTCGATGCGATGAAAAGAAACGCGTAAGTAAGTGAAAGTAAGGTTTTATTCAGAAAATGCACGATTTCTCGAAAAACTTGATTAGATTTTCTAATCTTTTAATTAAAAAACTTTACTTACACTTCTAAGAATGTTTTCGAACCAAAAAGAAGTAGAGTGACAGCTCGCTTTCGCGGAAAAACCGATAGTTTGCCGGAAGACAGTGAAATTTCGTTGAAAATTCGGTGGAGGTGGGGGTGTAGCCAGGGTAGAGTGGACGATACTCTTTTTTGCAGATTGTCTCGATTATCGGAGCGCGACGTCAGAGTTCCATCAAAAATTGCTGTGAATCGGATGGAAAACGTCGTTGATAACACTTTCATTGAGCCGTTTTTTGTCGGAAACTCGGTAAACAGACGATGCTGCCGTTTTCCCTATCAACTAATCTATTCAGGACAAAATCAGCGCGTTTTACTACGTGGCACCGCCTCTTGTCAAATGGTGCTCCAGCTACAGCTCCCGTAGCACTTCTCAGATGATTGTGCACAAAAACCGCCGCATCGCCATCACTTTCGATTGTAACAAGAATGCAGGTACATTTTTCACCCATTTTCAACAATTTATGCCGATTTTCAGTACTTCCGTCGCCGCGAACTATCGTCAAAACGATGATTCTCGCCGTGTTCACCGCCGCATTTGTCTTCGTTGTCAAATCGATCCCCTTTGAATTGTATCCTCAAAAAAAAAGCAAAATTTGATATAAAACCATCCATTTTCAGTATGATTCTGCAAGCCGCCGGAAAATGCGACGATCTACAAGACGACGAAAGCGACAACACGAGCGAGTCGTCGAGCGACAGCCTCCTCATCGACGACGCCAATGACATCGTCGAGCAGACCTCGTTTATGGAACGGCTCGAGAAGTGGGACGGCTCCAAGATGGACTCAATTTACGACTAATTCTCGCACATTTTACGGCACTCACTTACCCTTCTTTCATTTTATCACTTTTTCATTTGTGTTATAGTTTTTTCAGTGAAATGGAAACTAATTTCAGAGTAACTATGATTTTACATTGATCGACGCTGTATCGGACCGGAAAGAGGAAATCCTCTGGGAAATGGAACTCAAAATCATTTCAAAGACCGTTAGAACTGTTCGATCCGACCCAAAACCATTCTGCGTAAACCTTTATAACAATTCGGGTGGAATAAAATGTATTGAGCATTAAATGATCATAGAGTTGAAAATGCTTGTAAAGTTTGAAAACCGGAGAGATCAGTGAGGATGCACTTCCTGAAGTGGTCGATCGTCTTCGGTGAGCAACTGGGCGATTCGAGCGATGAGGTAGGCGATGTGAATGGAGACGACTCCGCAGACGATTGTAAGCCAGAAGTGTCTGGAAACTAGTGTTTTTAGGTAGGCTATCAGAAATACTAACAGTTTTTCACCAAACTCTCGTTGTTCCGCATCCTCTTTCGCAAGCTTTTCGTCGATCCAAGTGGTGTCGCATTTCGAGAAGCAAATGTGATCGGGTGTCATGTTCTGGAAGACAAAGGGGATTTTGAGTCTGTAAAAGAGTTTCCAAACCTCATCACACCAACAATTGGCCCGTTCCCACTCGTCCACCTCCTCCGCCACGTCTTCTTCCGCCGTGAATTTGTTATGGAGCCATTTGTGCACCTTCCTCAGTACCGGAATCATTCTCTTCAGCTTCAACTGATGTTTCGTGTGTCCATTCTGGAATCCAACGAACCAGTGCAACGCGGAAAGTTCTCCGAACGCTTGTTGATCGAACAGTTTGTCGGTTTGAAAGAACGGCAACGACAAATTCGCAGCGATTTCCAGGATCTTGATGTGTTCGAGGATGGAGTCGTTGTGCGCAGTGTACAATCGGTACTCGATGTTTGAGAGGCCGTCCAGGTAAGTGTTGAACGAATCGTAGACGGTGTCCCACTGCCGTTTGACCTCGTGCACATCGGCCAACTGGATGTACTTGAACTGCAGACTCAGATCCGTGTTCCACATGCGCATCGTCTCTCTCCGATCGTAGAATTCTATCAAATTGCGGAACGCGTCGAGTCCCTCGTTGATCTTCCGAATCTCTTCTTTAGTGATCTTGAAGGTCTTGAGAAGAGCACGCACCGGGAACCCAAAGTTGCGGAGCATTCCCTCAATAGTCGCTACGTGCGCCGGCACATTCTCTCCGTATCCCTCCATTCCGAGTGCCTGAACAATGTAGGTGGCGTATCTGACATCATCGAGTCTCCCGGCGTGCCAGACTTCTCTCGAGGCGTCCAGAGTACGTTGAATCTCATCGACGGAGGTCTTGTTGAGACAGAGAATGATTCCTTTGACACCGCTCGACTCGATCTTTGTCTTCGATTGTTGGAAAGTCTCGGACAACGGTGCAACCGACAAACCACCCTGTTTCTGATGTCGTTCACTAAGAACATTCGCAATGTCTGAGGGGACCGCACAGAAGTCGACGCCTCCGATCTCCTTCTTGACCGTTCGGAGCATCTCGTAGTCGATGTGCCAGATGGAGTCGGCGACCGTCTTCTCAATGTGATGCGTGTTTGGATTTGCAAATGCTTCCGTCACTTTCGGGTCCGCGATTCTTCTCAGTGAATTGCAAACTTTCGCCGGCCCGTCGATAATCTTATCGATCTCCTTGAAGTCGTCAATCCAAGAACTCAACGCGCTGTCCTCGTATCTCAGGTCCTCCGGCTGCAACGGCATTTCCAGACACTTCCGAACATCTTCAAACTTGGCGAGCACGTCTCCGGCGGGCAGAGTCTCGTTGATGAACGTGATGCGGTCCATGTAGAAGAATAGATGTTCGAAGGTGTCGTAGTACTTCTCGACTCTTTCACAAACATCATCCAACTCCTTGCCAAACTGTTTGAAGAACTCGAGATGCTGCAGGAACGGCTCCATCACATTGAACAGCTTTTTCGTCGGTCTTCCTTTTATTAGACTGCGGATCCACTGGTTATTCTTCTGTTTGCTCACTCTGCCGACGTCATCGAGTAGGCTAGGAATCGCAGAGCACGAGTCTCTTCCTCGTTTCGCGTAGTTGAGCAAGTTTCGGAGGTCCGATGCGGCTCCGTCTTTCAGCATCATTTCCAGATTCTGCACGTCCGTCTCGTAACTTTTGGCATCGGCCAATGATAACTGCAATCCACTAAGTTTGTGGTACGCATCGCGAACGGTGACGACAGCACGGCGCACGATTCCAGGAGCGTCTTTGTGGAACAGAGAAAAGTCCTTCTTGGCGTTGTTCTCGAAGAACTTTTTGGAGAAGGTTTGAGCGGCCGAGAGGGTGGCAGTGTTTCCCTTATGCTTGTCGAACCACTCGACGACGGCGACCCGATCCAGAATCGGCTGATCCTTGGGAGCCAGTTCGTGCAGCTCCGCCAGCCACTCGACCAGTCCGCCCACACTCCCATCGTCCGTGAAGTTCGCGAATCGATCGGGGGACGATGTGTTCAGATTTTCGACGAACCTAGGAAACCCGTCGATGACGTCACTGGTGACGGCCTCCATCGTCGCGAGTTCGCCGTTCAGTTTGTACGCGAGGGCGAATGCGTGCTCGAATGCTCTCCGCTCTTCCTCGTTGCCGGACCACGGCCTCCGCTTCTCAAACAGCGCCAGAAAGTTCCGATACTCCCAGGATCCGGTCAACATTAGATTCGAGCCGTAACTTTTGATGATTTCGTAGTCGACGTTGTGGCCGACCATCTGATTCGTGACGTTCTGCGGGCTGATTGTGCCATCGACAAGTCCTCGTTCCAGGTACAAGATATTGAGGATCGACGGCAAGAGGGTCATGTTCGCGATCCAACCGGCTAGCAGCGCCTTTCCGTACACTGCAACACACTTTTCAGATTTTGTGCTAATACTAATGCCTACCTTCTCTAGGAAAGTCTTCGGGCATCGGCTCGTCCCAGTCGTACTTGCTGGAGCGATCTGAAGTTTTTCATTTAAAAAGTGTCATGCCTTACAAAATATACGTTTTTGAAAAAAAGAAGTTCAAATGTTTTCAAAGTCCCAAATTCTGAATGAATTTCAAAAAAGAACACGACAGGAGGAGTTTTCTATTCCTCCGGTTGCCAGACTTGCAAAAATTCAAGATTTTTAATTTCGTTCCGGAGGCCGTCCATAAAAACACAAAAATGTCGAATCTCAGGGTCAGAATCGAATTTCAGACAGAATTATCCGAGAGCCGCACGAAGAATCGATAACTTTGTGCAGTAATTTTGTGTACAACTAACCACGCGTGCTGTCGCGTCTTTTAGGCGATGTCGTTTTCACAGGGACATTCGGTGGAGGCGGGGGTGTAGCCAGGGTAGGGTACGAGTGACTGAAAAGTGAGGAATAAGGGGAGTTCCCAAAGGAAAAGGATCACTTGGCGAGGGTGCAGACGTTGGCAAAATCGCAGATGAGCTGCAAGTTGCGGAGAGCCGAGAGGACGGAGATGTCGAAAGTTCCGTCCAAGATCTTGTCGGCCTCGTCGTCCTTGGTGAGGAACGACGCGAAGAACGATTGGTCGCCGATCACAGACACGAGATAGTCCCCGTACTCGCGAGATTCGAGGCTCGAGACGCACGAAGTCGACGAGTTCCCATTGCACGAATGAAGCTGAAAGAGAGAAAGTGAACAGGAAGTGTGTCGGGAGACCAACTTTCTCTGTGGGACGCACGGACGGAGGACTCGATGGTTTCACCGCGTCCAGTTGTCCTTTATAAACGTCCGTTTTGCCGAAGATATCCATTGAAGGAGCTGCAATTATTCCGAGTGAACGAGCAGAGTAACGGGTTTTTCTACCTGGCATGCAGATCGGCGATCCTTTAAACTCCTCTCCCACGTACAACTCGACAAGTACAAATCCACGAGCTCTTTTGTTGATGCAAGTGGTACTCACGTCCACCTAAAAAGTCAGATGTCGCATAAAACGTTCTTCAATTTCGGCTGTATTACCCGGTTTGGAGTGACGTACTCGCAAGTGTAGCTGTCGTTCGTGTAGCACGGACTCGTGGCCACCAGGAACTCTTCCTTGCCGATCGCCGTCTCCAGACGCTGCTTGAGCTCCTGCCTGAACAGATATCGTCCATTCGTTCCTCGTAGATTTCCACTCACTTGGGCACACAATCACTCTCTCCGAACAGACTGCGAGCATGGATGATGACGTGACGCTTGCTGATCACAACCCCCGACAGTATCCTGTGCTCGGCTGGATTCGATGCGCTCGTCATCTTCACAGCACTCTGCCACGGCGGGATCTCACTGAAATCAGTGAATATCGATTGACCACGGACGGACCGATGGGAACCAACTCTTTCGCTAGCCGCTTTCCGCACGTCTTCACAAGAAGTTTGTTCTCGTCGTCGCTCAATTTCATCTCACTCTCGCCCAGGTTCCTGTGGTTGCACACCCCCGTCACTTTGCAGATTTGCCTCGAATAGAACAGTAGCGACTTGGCGTGTTGTGCCTGGTCGGCGGTGCCTGAACGGAATGGTCATAAAGTGATTGGGACCAGATTCGTTCTCACTCGTCCCGAATGTCGACCCGACAAACGTGGTCCGGCAGTCCTTCCCATCGGGATCGCATCTCTCGACCGACACCAACTCGAAGGTCCCACCGCTCTTCGGCTTGGCACACACATCTGGCTCCGGACCGGAGCAGGCGATTACTGTCGCGTCCGACTCGGATCCCCGATCTTTAGTCGCATGGAAGTGCAGAGGCTCATCGGTTGTCGGGTTCCGGTCTACAATTCGCTACTCTCTGTGCTTTTACATTTCTGCGAAAGTGTACCTGGAATGCAAAGTGGAACGTAAGGACCATCGTACTTTGTATCCTTCGAAATGTCGAGTTCTATCACGAACAATCCATTCTGTGTATCGCACTCTCCAATGTAGTGAACACTTCGGATCAACGGAAATCGAGATGGTTTTTGAAGAAACAAAATTCTGAATTTAAGGGGTGAAATTTGCAATTAGAATTAAACACAATCTCACTTGTGGTTATTTCTGCATTCATTAGATCTACGGTTCACTACATTCTTGCCGAACATCCGAGAAGATGGATCGGCAACGTGGATGAGATGTCGGGATGAAATAAGCGGGGAAAACGCGTCATCAGCCGAATCGAATCTCGCGAAAAAGACACCACTCGACGATTCTCTGAAAAAAAAACGAAGTATACTAGTTGAACACTGCTCAACTTACGGTTTCTTGCCGCAATTCTTTTTCCGTAACACATTTTCATGTTTTGATAGTGTTCCAGATCTGAAAATTACATATCTTACTGTTCCTAATTCAATACAAGGCTTTTTGAGAGTAGGACCTGCTGGGGGCTTATCAGTTTAACCTGCCTTATTTTTATTTTCTTAAACTAAAACAGAAGCGACTCAAAAGAGGAATGAAGAAAAATACTTCTAACTGAAGTGGTACGAGCGAACGAACTCGACCCGCGCAGCAGGCCAGGCTTAAAAGTCTTGTTGAGCATACACTTACAGTTCGCAAACGCCTGTTACGTCGCAAATCTCCTTGCGAAAGTCATAGACAGACACTTGTTCTACAGAATTTGCTCCTTCGTTGAACATTATTCCAGCTGCGCTCGACAGTTTATTGTTGACGGCCAAGACGACGCCATTTCCAGTCTGTGCCTCTGGCGAAGTTGTGAAGTATGTTTTATCCCGAACTTGGTTCAAGATCTGGAAAACAACTCTTTTTACGCAAATAGGCAGAGGATAATCAACATTGTTCACACTCCCGCTCGTGACATCTGCGTTGACATCTTCTCCGGAATGCATTTTAATTGAGTCTCCAACATTAAGTCCCGATCTTGGAATGCACACGGGTTTTGCCCCGTGATCGATTTCAACCACAATGAATCCGAAAGAAGATGCACAGTCGCCAATGTAAACTGATTTCTTGGGCGCTATGTCCGGTTTGTCGACGAGAAACAGTTTGATACCGGGGAGAAGAGGCATGTTTCTGAAAAGATTGATAGAGGAAGAAGGGAGAGTTCCGGACCTACCCGTTGACACAAGTGGTATTGTCGTATTTCGTTCCGCTCAACTCAAAATTGTCGTCGACGCCGAGACTTCTGCCGACGAGCACGTGTCTCGGAGAAATCGCCACTGCTCTCGTAATGTTCGTAGTGAAGTCGGACAGTTTCGACTGCATCCGTACTATGCTCTCTCCCGCACTGAAATGTTTACCAATTGAACCGTCCGCTTCTCATCCAACTCACGGGCTCCGCCCACAAATATCCTGAACGTTCACATTTTCTTCCTCCGACAGTTTACCGTCCCTCTGAGTAAGCACGATGACAAAGAAGTGAACACATGCGACAAACAGCAAGAGTGTTCGCATATTGATCCAATGTTGACGTGCAACAAGAACTGACTACAGACGAATCGGCGAGTGGCAGAGTTCGAACTTGATGACGTGGCGGTCGTGTGCGGTCGAGAGGACACGCGAAATAAAGTGCGGAATTGAGTTGAAGAAGAAGAAGAGTATGGGTTAGGGCGCGAAATATGGATTGTTTGTTGAAGGAAAAGATCGGAAAAGTGACCAAAGTGAAAATATGTATTAGAAACACACAAAGAACCATAAACCCAAGTATTGAGTTGATGACACGTGGCGCATGATTTATTCACCAGAAAACAAGCAATAAAACCGAAAATGTAAAAACAATCGTATTGTCATTCAAAAGAGTGCAAGTATTCAGGTAGAGCACAAAATCGTACTCCTTCTTCTGGTTTTTCTTCTTCTTCTTCTTCTTCGTGTTCCCACCACTGCCATGGTACTTGACATGCATGTATTTGCTGAAAATGGATAACAGGCACTAACTGAGTCAGGTGACTTACTTGTTACAGATTCCAGTCGTCTTGCAAATGTTCTCCGAATAATAGAGCATCGACTGGGCTGTCAGGTTTCCGCGAGTACTCGAACTTTTCGTATAGGTAGGGACCGCAACGGGTTTCACGAAACTCCGAATTTTCATAAAATTTTTGTTGGAATGTGTTCCCCTACTCTATATGAGTACGCTTCCAATTTTTTTTTCCAAAATTTTCGGTACATCCCGAGTTACACCCATTCAAAGTTGGCCTGTTTTCTCCCCGGTCGGCGGCAGAGGAGGGGGCGGAGTCTCGCCTGCAAGTCCGCCGCACGCGTTTTTCGCCTCTGTTTGGTGGCTGAAACCAAAAAGGCAACATATAAATTGAAGAAAAATGATGTTCTAAAAAAGCAAAACATCTTTCAAGGCCAAAAGTTTCGAACCCGACACCTCCAGACTGCCGAGTGAGCACTCTGCCACTGCGCCAAACGGGTGGGGGCGCGCCGACCAACAATGGCATTGAGAACGTCGGTTTGCGCGGCCCCCTTCCAGGTGTGACATCAGTGGTTTTTAACACACAAATCCAAAACTGTAACTATTTACAGTCACTTAAAAAAAAACGGAGAATTAGAAAATTGAAAATTTTAGCATGAATCGATCGGAAATTGGATGCTGAATCCGATTTTGTAAAAATTAGCCGCGTGTCAGGTACCTGTGACGGCTAAATCCCCCGAAAACTGAAATTTCGGCGAAACCGGCTCCACTCAAATGAACAGAAAAGTGCTCACAGGGGGTCTAGGGCTCTGAAAATTTATATTTGAGTTCTCAGAGAAATTATCTATAGATTCCGAATATAAAAAAGTATGGTCATCGCTGAAATTTTTTCACAACTTTTTGTGCCAGTTTGAGGGCCTGTAAAAAAAAACGGAGAAGACGAAATCTGATTTTTATTTCAAAAACGGATTCCCCATCACTTAAACTGTAAATTAACTAAAAATTAGCCGCGTGTTGCACAAACTCCGGCCACACGAGCTCTCAGACTGACTTCCATTTTCGTTTTCGCCGTTTTTTAGAAAAACGGTGCGTTTTCACGGGAAACTGAGTTGTTCATTGGATTCAGCATGGTCGATTACATAAAGTAAATCATTTTGAGTATGGTACTTCATTTGTGGACCTCGGTACATGGCCTCAAACATGCGCGCGCGAAACTTGGGAGAAAATTCGGCAGGCCACGCCCCCTTTGTTGCGCCCCCTACGTATAGGCCACAAATGTGAGCACCCACACGGCGCGGCTTTTGCGACGTTCACTAAACGTTTGATCCTCAGTCTGTGCATTTGGCACGCCGGTGTTGCTCTGCGTACAGTGAATTTTATGTTACGCGCAAAGTTCATTTTTCTAAGTTTCTGATGAATTTTCTCCAAATATTCATCTCTTTAAAGCGTTTTTCTCCACTTTCTACCTCAATTAGACCTTTTTACAGATTCCAGGTGAAGTAATACGCGAAGAGAAGTCGATGCGATGAAAAGAAACGCGTGAGTATGTGAAAGTAAGGTTTTATTCAGAAAATGCATGATTTCTCGAAAAACGTTACTAAACTTTCTAATCTTTTAGTTAAAAACCTTTACTTACATTTCTGAGAATATTTTCGAACCGAAAAGAAGTAGAGTAACAGCTCGCTTTCGCGGAAAAACCGAGTTTGCCGGAAGACAGTGAAATTTCGTTGAAAATTTTTTTTTGCTTCTACTCGGCAAAGGCGCGCCACTTTTGCGCAAACATTACGCAGCTTTTTCGCAAAGTTAGCGCAGCTTCAGCTGGCTAGTTGCGCAAAAGCTGCGTAAAGTCTGCGCAAAAGCTGCCAATTTCAAAAGTTTGCCCAAATGCTGCTTAAAAATGTTCAGTTTATTTCCACTTCATTTCTGCATGAAAAAGAATTTTATTGAGATAGTATAAAAACCAGAAACAAGTACCATTTAGAGATCAGTGATTGTATAGTCTTCATCACTTTCATAACTGAAAAAAGACACGTTGTTGTAAGTGAAAATGCAGGCGATGTAGGAGGCCCCATCCTCAAAATCTGAAATGCTCATCTACGAGTTTTTAAAAATTCTCTGTTAACTCACTGAAACACTCTTCTGATTCATGAATCGGAATTCATGAACCGTGTCTATGCCGCGTCTTTTCGCCTTCCGCCAAAAAAAAAGTGAATTCCGCCTTCTCAAAAAATCGATTCCGCTCAACTCTGGTTCCACTTCTCTTCTGAATCATATCTCACGTAATCATATAACAGTCTTAATTCGAACGGAACTCACCGAGTCTCGTTTCGAGACAAATGACTTGGACACCTTTTGGCTGAAGTCGATAGTTTCGTCCGGATCCGTTTTTCTATTCACAGTGGTTCATGTTCTATCTAAACCAGAAAAGAATGTGATATAGTACAAAAGTACGAGCATGTGAATCGTTCAAACATATTAAATAATTGTGAAGTAGCTCGAATTCAAGTGATTTCATACAAATTTTCAATAACACTCGCTTCTAAACGAAATCCGACTGAAATTTCGCTTGAAATGCGCTCAAACCGAGGAAATACGGAAAAAGATAAGTAGTTTCAATTTGATAAGCAACAAAAAACAACTAAGACGCATAAAAACAAGCTGGAAAAAGCGAACAGTACTGAAAAATGCAAAGTTTCCATAACAATTTCGACATGCGCAAAAAGCTGCGAGGACGCATAAAGTTTGCGCAAAATGTGCGAGGATCCTTAAAGTTTGCGCAAAAGTGGCGCGCCTTTGCCGAGCATCTACAGTCCGATTAGCAACACGACGAGGATCGCCACGACTTCCGATCCTGAACGATGTGTGAGTCTAGACGGGATTGGAATGTGTCCATGAACTGGATTCCAGAAAGCCACCACCGCAACGACGACGTCGAAGAAGGCATCCGTCGAGTGCTCGTTCCCTCCGATCGATCTGAGTCACGCGAAACGACCGACGGCTGCAGAGCAGAAGGACGCCTACTCGGTCGGCGAGAAGCTGTTCCATCTGTGCGAGCGTCCGTACGTCATGGAATGGGCGAAGCAGCCGTTGAGAGTGTACACGTGCAAGCCGAATGGACAGTGGAGCGGCGTGTTCCAGAAGTGCATCAGTGAGTTCGAGTTCGGCTGTCATTTGATGTGCAAACTTTTCATTTCTTTCAGATCAACGACCGGGAACGACCGAACTCCGATAATTGATTGATTTTTGAGCGAATGAGCAGAAAATAAAACATTAAGAACACTTATTCACAAAGCCATGAAAGCGATCAAAACGGGCCCGATGAGCCATCCGACGCGTGCGCCAGCCTCCTGGAAAATGTCACGGGCCGTCGCGGTGTCGCGTCCTTTAGGCGATGTCATTTTCACATTCGGTGGAGGTGGGGGTGTAGCCAGGGTAGGGTGGACGATACTCTTTTTTGCAGATTGTCTCGATTATCGGTGCGCGACGTCAGAGTTCCATCAAAAATTGCTGTGAATCGGATGGAAGACGTCGTTGATAACACTTTCATTGAGCCGTTTTTTGTCGGAAACTCGGTAAACAGACGATGCTGCCGTTTTTCCCTATCAACTAATCTATTCAGGACAAAAATCAGCGCGTTTTTACTACGTGGCACCGCCTCTTGTCAAATGGTGCTCCAGCTACAACTCCCGTAGCACTTCTCAGATGATTGTGCACAAAAACCGCCGCATCGCCGTCACTTTCGATTGTAACAAGAATGCAGGTACATTTTTCACCCATTTTCAACAATTTATGCCGATTTTCAGTACTTCCGTCGCCGCGAACTATCGTCAAAACGATGATTCTCGCCGTGTTCACCGCCGCCTTTGTCTTCGTTGTCAAATCGATCCCCTTTGAATTGTATCCTCAAAAAAAAGCAAAATTTGATATAAAACCATCCATTTTCAGTATGATTCTGCAAGCCGCCGGAAAATGCGACGATCTACAAGACGACGAAAGCGACAACACGAGCGAGTCGTCGAGCGACAGCCTCCTCATCGACGACGCCAATGACATCGTCGAGCAGACCTCGTTTATGGAACGGCTCGAGAAGTGGGACGGCTCCAAGATGGACTCAATTTACGACTAATTCTCGCACATTTTACGGCACTCACTTACCCTTCTTTCATTTTATCACTTTTTTTCATTTGTGTTATAGTTTTTTTCAGTGAAATGGAAACTAATTTCAGAGTAACTATGATTTTTACATTGATCGACGCTGTATCGGACCGGAAAGAGGAAATCCTCTGGGAAATGGAACTCAAAAATCATTTCAAAGACCGTTAGAACTGTTCGATCCGACCCAAAACCATTCTGCGTAAACCTTTATAACAATTCGGGTGGAATAAAATGTATTGAGCATTAAATGATCATAGAGTTGAAAAATGCTTGTAAAGTTTGAAAACCGGAGAGATCAGTGAGGATGCACTTCCTGAAGTGGTCGATCGTCTTCGGTGAGCAACTGGGCGATTCGAGCGATGAGGTAGGCGATGTGAATGGAGACGACTCCGCAGACGATTGTAAGCCAGAAGTGTCTGGAAACTAGTGTTTTTAGGTAGGCTATCAGAAATACTAACAGTTTTTCACCAAACTCTCGTTGTTCCGCATCCTCTTTCGCAAGCTTTTCGTCGATCCAAGTGGTGTCGCATTTCGAGAAGCAAATGTGATCGGGTGTCATGTTCTGGAAGACAAAGGGGATTTTGAGTCTGTAAAAGAGTTTCCAAACCTCATCACACCAACAATTGGCCCGTTCCCACTCGTCCACCTCCTCCGCCACGTCTTCTTCCGCCGTGAATTTGTTATGGAGCCATTTGTGCACCTTCCTCAGTACCGGAATCATTCTCTTCAGCTTCAACTGATGTTTCGTGTGTCCATTCTGGAATCCAACGAACCAGTGCAACGCGGAAAGTTCTCCGAACGCTTGTTGATCGAACAGTTTGTCGGTTTGAAAGAACGGCAACGACAAATTCGCAGCGATTTCCAGGATCTTGATGTGTTCGAGGAGGGAGTCGTTGTGCGCAGTGTACAATCGGTACTCGATGTTTGAGAGG